TCACTAGATATTTTCTATAAAAAACTTTATATAAACTTTTTATAAAGTTTAAATATATAATAAATATTTTTTACATTTTTTACTATTGAATAAATATAATTATAATATTTTAAAATATTCATAATTAATTACTGTTAGAATTGTATAAAACTGATAATCTTTGTACAAAAAATCTATAAAACTAAATTTTATTAATAATTATCAAATCTTATATATAAATATTAATGTATTCTTCAACACATTCCCTTTTTTTTCCCATTTCCTTTCATCAAAATCCATTTCAATCAAAGGATAGTAGAAGAAAAAAACGTTTAATTAATATTTGAAATTTCATCGTAACTTCTTACAATATCATTAAAATATTTAGAATAATTAGAATTAAAAAAAACTTTTGCAACGTGCGCCATTTAAACAATTGCTTTCCAGGAAGTCACGTGCCAATATGGCGGGGAAGGATTAGGATGCGAGTGGTAGCAGGAAAAGGAAAGTGGCCAGAAGCGAAGCAGAGAATTGAAATACGCCGAGAAAAGATCGAGGGACGCGTGGACATTCCGGTATCTTTTTCCCATGCACGTGTACGGCACACAGATCTGTGTACAAAACGGGCACGTCTGGATCGCTTTCGTGATTACGCAAAAATCATTTGCATGACAATGAAATACGACCGCCTGTTGGATAGTTTAACTGGTCGTCCGAAAAAATGCATGCCAGCTCTGAAAAACCTATGGGAAATCGAGCATTCTGGACAGAAACACGCGTGACACCACTGTCAATCGTTCTTTGCAAATTCAATTTCCATTATTAACCACACAAAACTTGACGAGTTTTTCTTTTTGTAATCCTCTTGTAACTATAAAATTATTAAATTATAAAGTTTTATTTTATTGATGTGAAATATACAACAAATAATTCTATAATAATATTTGAAATAAAAAATAAGATGCATTCTAAAAAGTCTAGTCTTTTTATATAAAAATATCTCGATGAAATTTGTTAATAACATTTTATGCAATATTTCTATTTTGAAAGTATATTTGTATCTTTGACTTACTGATTTTTTTTCATCAAATTTTTTGTTATTATCGTTGTTATAATCGCATGTGAAATATATCGCATTCATTAGAAATAATTTCCAAATTAAAAATTCAAATTATTTTATAGAAAAATTCAAATAGGAAGTATAGAAATTATTTTTTATAACAATATATATTTAAAATGTTTAATTTTAATGTGATTGATGTGAAAATTAAAATCGATAATGATAATATGATATGATAATGATATTTATATATTTCATTACATATTACATTGTAATAAACAAAATATTTATTTTAATTAATTATTTTTACGTTTATATTGAAAAATATATAATTGAAATACTTGTTAAATATTCTTCAAATAATTATTTTGAACAGCATTTTGATCGTTATAACAATAAATTATTTCAAATTTTATTTAATATAGTTGATATGATATGATTTTATACAAATATTATTTCTTATTTTGAATACTATTATGAATCATTTAGTTTATTAGAAAAAACTGGAAAATGAAATATATTTGTAATTTAAATTGCAAATAAAAATATGAATTTATATAAATATATGACTATTTATACTGACATCGTAATAAAAGCGAAAAATATAGCAAATTTATACATTCATATTTCAATATCTATATTTCTTTTGGAATAAATTTAGAATAATTTTGATAAAAAAAGATATTGTTAAATACAAAGTATGTTAGCAAACATTTACATTAATTAGTAAAAGTATGTTCATAAATAAGTATATAATTTTACGAAAGCGTGTAAATATGTAAAAGTTAAATTATAATTTTTTTAAAGAATTCAAAGCAAATATTAATTAATATTAAATATTAAACAACACACTATGATAAAATATTTATACATTTATATATTTATTAACTGCTACATATACTCAATTGCAATTGCAGCATGTATAAATTTGCTGCAGCATCGTTAAGTAAATTTCTAGGAACGATATAAGTAGTCTTTAAACATGTATCGCGTTCGAATATCGATAGTACATGCAATATCAAGTTACCTGGCCGATACTCTTCGGCATCAATCGTCAACAGTGTTCTTAAACTGAATGATTCTCATCAGGTATTAAGTATGTACGCTCTTAAAAATATAGAGAATCACGCATTATTTTTTTTGTCATAAACTATAAGATGATCTTCGCATAATATATACACAAAAGTATTTGAACGCAAAATTTCGTTTTTGAAATTGAAAAATCATTAACTTGTAAAAAAATATATTGCCACACTATGCATTTACATATAAATATATATATATAAATATGTGTATTGAAAAAATTTTGATCGTTAATTCTTTTTTTATAAATATAAACAAAAACTGATAGCTATATTCGAAGATAAATAAATAAAATCAACTTGATTTGCAACGCATGAAAAATCAAACGCCTACTACAACACAAATATAGGAAAAAGTAGATTAAAATGAATTCTATATTTTTTCATATTCACAATAAATTTAAAAAAAAATGATTCTATGTTTATTTTTTGTTCCATTTCATATTTTTTAATGTTTTAATAGTTTATGATGTTTAAAAAATGTACACTTGTATTTATATACGATTAATTCACGAACTATATACATTAAATATTCATATATATTATTTGTAAATCTCCGTGTAATCGAATAGAGAATGCATCATACGCATGAATCGTTATAGTAAATTAATATAAGTTTACTAACCATTCAGAAGCACGTTAATTGCACGCAATTTCGATAACGGCATCCGATTATGTCGTAATTTTCCTTGACACTGTCTCGTTACTGACAGCAATCTTAAATGCCTGATTAAGATTACTGCGAAAGTGTGTACACAATATCGTACAGTAAACCATTGCGAAATGTTTTCGAAAAGAATCCATAAAATGATATGGCGGGAAGTAACAGAAGAAAAAGGGATTATGGACGAACCGACGCCTAGGGCGGCTTCATCTCTAAATTCATTTTAGTTACAGTAAAACGGACAGAGGGTAGCGATGTGGCCGACGGACAAGCAGATCAAACTGAAGATTGATACTGCAAGTAATGGACATATTTATTCTTTTTTATAATCTGATAGCACAGCACAGTGAATAGAAAAGAATAGAATCATTCCAAGACGAAATGGTTTTAGTGGAATTATGAAAATTTCTGCTTACAAACAATGTTATCGAAGCGTTGCATCAATTTGATCGTAAGAGAATTAATTTTTCCGGAAAATATGGCCTTCGACAATTAAGAATTTTCAAGTATCTTAAACGGAGAATCTAAGCGTTGCTATTGGGCGATTTTCAAAAACGGTTGATATTACCGCGAGAAACGGTTATTATATGTATGTATGTATATATATATATATATATATATGTATATATTTCGTCCTTTTCAAGCACAAATTACGCGATTTATAAAACCGGTTGCTGATTATTATCATATTATGTATTACTAAATCATCGATAACGCGTTGCGATACCGACGCGACAACAAAATTCGAGAAAGATAGCTACATCAAATATATATCGTTCTACGTGGAAGGACCTCGAGCGCCTTTGGAGGTTACATTTCCAACGTAACGCTCTCTGACTTGCAGGAAACCGAGCAGGATGTTAATATAATTTAATAATTTAATTACTTACCATTCGATGAATGTCCAGTTTTTCGTACACGATACACTTTTCTTAGGCAATGGATAGAACTAAACTCACAACAGACAAAGGGATAACGAAATAATTTGAACACGACGAAGACGAACACAACACACTCACAAAGTCAGAAAACAGACTGAAGCTAACTGGCCGGGTACTTCTCTTCGACGTTGCTACGAGACGAACCAAAGCGACACTCCTGCCCTCTACTAACAATATCGGAACTATTTAGTTAGCATGCTTAATCGCGCCAAATTTTAAATATATTTTTTTCTCTCTGTTTTCTTACATAATTAAATGAAAGTTTAAAACAATAAGATAAACATTAAACTCATTATATATAATTATAGAATATATATACCGATTAAATAAATATAATTAATTGATATATATTATTTATTCTATTTAATTTTAAATAACATTCAATTAACAATTCATATTAACAAAACACCACAATATTTATAAAATTTACAATTTTCATAATCTTTGGTTGCGATTTTATACGCAAATATTATTATTAAATTATGAAATAAATATAGAAATATATTTTATACATTCTTACATATAATATTTAATTTAACATTATTGCCCAAAATATAACAATATTTTTATGAATCAATAAACTATTTATTAAAAATTAATATGTTTTGAAACTAATATATAATAATATATAATAATATATAATATATAATATTGAATATTAAAAATAACAAAAATTTAAAATTCAGGTACTTTAAAATAAACTAAGCGAATGAATAAGATTTTCATACTTTTTGCAATTTATTTTTGATCTGAATTGTATATATTCCTTGAAATATTAATCGCCTAAATATGGCACTGTTTAACTGTAAATAAATTTATCCAAGAAGAAATGTTTATAAAAAAATATAATATTAATTATTCAGTATACAATACTAATTATTACTGAAAATCCTAATACTTCCTGATAAAAAGTTTTCAAACAAATTCAAAATTTTTTAAAAAATATTATAGTTTTCGAATTTTAAAATACTATGATATAAATATAAAATACAATAAAATATTAAATTGATTCAAAGTAGCTAAATAGACAAGAATAATTGAATTATTTATTATTGAGAAGAAAAAAGTAAAAAAACAAAAGAACAATTAATAATTTGAATATCAATAAAGTTATAATTAAAAACATCATAAGATATTAAATAATTATAAATATTTAAAAGAATAATTTGAATTTCTTCATAAATACATATTTTATACTTATATCATAGTATTTTACATTTCAAAAACTAGAATATTTATAAAGAATTTCATAATGTTATTTTTGACCGGAAATTTTTCACTAGGAATAGTAACATATATTATGGAATTTTACAGTTTTATTTAATAATATAATATTTGAAAGTAAACATAATGTTACTTTATAATATTATCAAATTTATTATAATTTCAATAACAATAATGGTATCATCTTCAAATGATATCAACAATGATATCATTCATATACAAATTGAGCAATAATGTTGAATTATCTTTTACATTTCTGCTATTATCCCTTTAATATCGATAAGATTTCAGTTATTATTAGACTTTGGAAATTTATACATTTATAGAAAATATAAAAATTTTATAGAAATTTATAAAATGCACGCGATATGCAAAAAAAAAAATTCAATCTAAAGTATATATTATGATATTTAAGAAATAAAACAAATTTTCATTTTAATTTTATTATTGTAGTCATGTTCATAAAAATTTAAATTCGCAATTTAATTATTTATTTTAGAACATGCCATACGGTAACTAATTTTCTAGGATTTTGAAGTATAGAGAACCAGTGTAATCTTTCTGTCGAACCTCTGACTCCTTTTCCTAACGCAACCTTACCGACATTAATATTATTTGATTTCTGAATTGATGTTAACGAATCTTCACTATCACTCGGATGATCCATAATACTCGCAACAATATCAAGAGGTGCAGCCTAAAATATTTTTCAATCATTCTAAATTTTAATTCATTCATTATTATTTAAATTACCATTAAAATTAATACACACTTTGCTGCAAAGCACGACAAGAAATTGCACAATGTCTAATTGATTATACAATACATCAAATGTCAGGGTTTCGTTGAACTCTGTTTGTGAATTCGCAATGACGGATTTAGTCTTTTTTTTTTTTATTCGATGTCCAGTTCGTCCATTGAGCATCAATATCCTGACATAAAAATCTGAAAATTCCAAATAACTTTTTAAATGGAAGAGAAAATGCGAAAACGTGAATTATATGTAGTGCTTACTAAAGTTGTTTAAACTCGATGCTGGTGGTGTAAACTTGACATCACGTACTTTCATTACATTTATAGCTAGTCTCTGTGCTGTAGGTAAATAACTTATACCTAATAAAATGTTTCCAAATTGCTGTAACATAGAAATAATTTATTTATAATTATCTTTATTTATTTCTTTATTAATTTTTTTTATATTAAATATGTAAAAAAAATTGAAATATACAATATATATATTTTTTATCAATACTATACATATATAAAAAAATACATATATTTTTTAGCAATACCATACATATATAAAAAAATACATATATTTTTTAGCAATACCAAATTAGATGGTTTCATCCTGAAATTAAACATATGAATTTCCGGGCTTTGTAGAACGTGTTTCATTTCCTTCATGGATACTTTCAAGCTACACAATTCCGTGTCATTAGCATATCTGTCATGATCGTATGCCATAAAGTCGAGAATCCATTCCTAGAAAAAAAAAATAAGCTAGATATAATGTTATTAATGTTATTAAATTAGTATAAGTATAGTATGCATAGGTAGTTTAATGCATAAATATTATGTTTACTTTTATTATTAACTATACATCTATAATATTTTTAACTAAAATAATTGCTCCTTTATGCTGTTTATTTCTTCAATTTTTTTTATTCATAAACATAATTAAAAATACTTAAAAAAAAAAAACATATTAAAAATGCTTATTCTATTTTATATGATTTTTCATTTATTTGATATATTATATTTTCAAATGTAATAATTGCTATTTAGTTATTTTCATTGATTTTTAAATAAATATTATATTTTTTTGATTAAATATAATATGTTCACTTTCTAAAAATAAATATTATTATTGAATTATTATTATAATTTTGCAGATAACAAATATATAACAATATTACTGATTAAATAATTTTAATTTATATTATATTATATATATATATATATATATATATGTATATATATATATAGAAAGCTAAACATAAATGATATTTTTATATGAATTTCTTATTTTTATAAAATCTTTAAAATCACCTTTCTAAAGGTATTTCATAAATATATTAACTTTCTAAAGATATTCCACAAAATATATTAATACCCTATATATTATTATATATTTTTTACAATTTATAATATACAGAATAATCATTCAGCAATATTCAGTTGGTAATTACAAAACAATTTATATACAATTCAAAATTTATTTAATGAGGAAATATTGAATTTTAAAATTCGTTTTGTTCAAAAATACATCCAAAAATTATACACATATAATATTTCTGTATATAAACTATCAAAATCTTGTGTAGATAGTTAAATACAATAATAATAAAATAAATTTAATACAAAATTATATATACCTTAACTTCCTGAGGACTTACGTTCGCTACACCGAACGCCTCCTTAAAAATGGGACTCGCTGTATGCTTGATACTCCTTGTTCGAAAACTATGTAACCTTTGTCGTTTCCTATGATTCCACGATTGCTTCGCAATGTTTAGTGTCACGTACGGCTCTAACGTGCAATTGTATTGCTTTGGAGGAAGACCGGATAATGCCTGTACATCATTGAATTCTTAAGTTTGATTTTAGTAAAAAGATATAAGGATAAATATTTTCAATTCAATAATGCTATAATCTTGTTAATACATAAAAGGCAGTAATAATCAGTTGTTATATAATAATTTTTGCAAAGAAAAAAATTGATTGAAATTACTTCACGTCTGAATCTGCAGTTAAATTATGTACATTTTTGGAACACTATATATGTTATAATAAAGATTTAAAATATAATAAATGTATAGTTATATATATACTATTCAATATTCATTTATCTAATAATCATTTATCTAAAATTTTAGTAAAAATATTAACTCAATATAAAAATATTTACTATTCCTAATAAATATACATTTACATATACAATGCATAAGTTTTTTTGAACAGATTAAAAATATCAACTAAAATTAAAACAAATCTAAATAATATCTTTAAGTTACTAAATTATTTTTAATAGATTTTTTCCCGATAATCAACATTATTATTTTAATAAGTTATTTTCCTTCCAATATTGAATCAATTCGTATCGAACGAACAATCATTGTAATTATCATTATATATATAATATTATATATATATATTATCATTATATACATATATAATGACAATTACAATGATTGTTCGTTATGTATATATATATATACATCATATATGTCAGTATACATCACACTTAATTGAAGGAATAAAATATACGCAATACATTAGCCAATCATATCATGGCATTTTATTTTACGTATATTTTTATTATTTTAAATCAGATCTAAAAATATATGTATTTATTAATCAAAGTTTACATTTGATTAATTATGAATACACTTACATTAAATTAATGTATATAAATTAACTAATAAATATATACATTTAATGACAATGAGTTGATGCTTTTACTACAGATACATATTTTTATCTATATATATATATATATATATTTCATATTATCATTATAAATTGAAAGAAATCTTTACAGTAATCGATTCATTAGAGATTCATAACTCGATTTCCATTTTGAAATAATATAAAATAACGATCAGATCAAAAAATAATACCTCGACACCGATAACGAGTTTTCCAGTAATAGTCTCATCATAAGGCGGCAGATACTGTAAGCTTATTGTCAATTCAGTGGGGAATTCTTTTTGTTTTTTCTCGGCTTTTTGCTTATCCTTCTGCACCAAGTTCTGTAATGTGTCACACTTGAATAAGTTAACGAGGGAGCTCACGTAATTAAAATGAAATTTAGCACGGGTAACGGCACTTACCAGGGTGGACGAGGTATCAGTGAAACCAAACTGAGCGTTGCTGGAATTATAGGAATTCTCGTTTGGACTTGCATTCTCATCGATTGTACCTGTGTAATATTTATTAATATCATGAAATGAATGTCATATTAATTATTTTCAAATTTGTAAGTGATAATTAATTAGTGATATTGGAAATAAATAATGATAATTAAGGTTAGGATTAAAGAAAATAGATTTTTGAAATGGAATTATAAACTATAATTATAACTGTAATTATAACATATAACTATAATAACATAATAATATGTATAACTATAAATATATAACTACAAAAAATATTTGCATTTTACATCATATTAGATCACATATGAAATAAACAATTTTATAAATTTGTAAAACTAATTCGAAGATAAGTGACTAAATATATTGTTGAACAATATTTATACTTATTTTATATCAATTTAAAAATTCAATATTATTTTATCAATTATTCTATTATAAAGAAACAAATTATGTGTTTTTAATTTAATATTAAATTTAAATATTTACTTATAGTTAAGTTTACTTATTTTCTTATAGTTAAGTTTCAAATGTATAAAATATTATACATATAATGTATATAATGTATAATATATATTATAAATATATATATTTATAAAATTATATATATAATAAGTTATATATATATAATATATATTTATAATATATATAATATATATATTAATAGTAATAATATTAATATATAATATATAATATACATATATTAATAGAACTATTAATAAAATATAAATGAAAGAATTATTAATAACAATCAATTAAATTGATCAATTAATTGCAATAATTTTAATTTTGTTTTTTTTTATTTTTAATGTTTTATACTAAAATTCTGAGTTAAATTTTAATTAATACTATTATCAATAAAACTATAAATATAAAAATTTTTATATTAAGATTTTGGTTATTTTATTTGCAATAACCTATTATAATACTATTTTACATATTTATCATATATATATTGAATATAACTATAATGCCCAATTGCATTTTTTATGATTTTACTTATATGTTATAAAAAATAGAAATTAATATATTTTAATAAAAATGTTTCGATCAAAGAAAGAAAATAATTAGAAACAAGAAATAATTTATTTTGACGCTATTTAATGCTCGAAAATTTTAAATGTTCAAAGAAATATGTGTGTCTCAAAAACTTGAAATTTCAATTGCTGAATATAAATCTGCGATAGTTAAATGAATAAACAGTGCGACAATTAACAGGGCATTTTTTATTTTGATAAAAAAATGAAAATTTGAAAATATTTAATATATCAGTATATCAGTATACTAAAACTTTTAACAATATTATAAAATATAATTTTACTATTTTATATAATTTTACCATTGCTGCTGCCTTCGTAGAGACTGCCCAATCTCCAAGATCTATAGCTGACATCATTCAACTTCACATTTTCATTTTGTTTGCCTTTCAAACATAATGGCACACTTTTTGCTTCTCTTTCTGCAAAGAATTGTTCTTGACTTTGATTATGCAATTTCTAAAAATTAATTATCTTATATTTTAGTAATTAATATACTATACATTATTTAAATATATTATGATTTAATTTCTACAATTCTAACAATTAAAGTATTATTATTATGTATAAAATATCTTATGATGATAGACACCCATATTTCATTCTCAATTTTTTCTCAATTTTAAATATTTTCAAAAAATCATTATAAATAGATTTTTTTATCTTCTATATTCATTTTATCAAATATGAATTAAAAATCATTTTCTTTGTTCTATTTTAAAAATTATTATTTTTATATTGTCATGAATGTTATATTATTTTACATTATATAAATTTACATCGTATCGCACAAGAAGTAAAAAGATAAAAAATTTATAATATTATTATAAATATTATAAATTTATAATATAATTAATATTATGGTAAATCAGATTTACATAACTTTCAAATAATAAAAATAATCATAATAATGATTATACATGGAAGATTCAGTTGGAAGATACATGGAAATCAATTATTTAAGTTGTATTTTCTAAAAATATACAGTGAAAGACAAAAATTTTCGTAAATTATTTTGCGTAAGGAAATTCATTATTTTGACTTTAATAAAAATTGTATAAAATTGTAAAAAATTGTATAAAAACATAATAATTAAATAATAAAAATAATGAACAAAGTATTTATCATTAAATTTATAAGAAAAAAATACGAAAAAAATATATAATAATATCATGTAACATGCAAATTTTTAGTATGTAAATTAATTTTCACTATCATCAATGCATCATTGAATTTCGAAAAAATATTCATTTATTGTAATTGTAATTCATTGTAATTGTATTATAATATCATAATAATTATACATATATTATTATTAATGACGACTAAGACAATATTATATATTAATTATAATTATAGCTAATATTACATACTTTTTTATGCATAAATAAGAATTATCGATATTATTATCGATAAATATCTATAATATTGATATGTTGTCGATAATTCAATATATCGTTAAAATATCGATAAGAGATGGATATAAGATAAAGGTCGATTTCATTGAATCAATATTTCATTGATCTTTAATATATTCAAATTATCATTAATGATATCTTAACGATATCGATATATCAAAAAATATCAATAATATATCGATAATTGATAATCATTAAAACTTTAATATTGATATATTATGTTATGCTTTTTGCACATTTATTGTGCATAAACATTTGAAATTTTTTAAGAAGATAATTTTTTGATGCTGTGTGGATGGATGTTTCCATAGATGCTCGGAAAGTTATATGCAGTTAGTTTGCAGGATGACATACCTAATTACGTAATATCGTGGAGGAAACGAAGGAAACATCGTTTGCACGTGTGTATAAATATAACTGTGCGAACAATGGCGTAATGTATCAACTACGTATATGCACGATTCACGATGCAGGAATTTAAGTTTCCTTCCTTTCAAAGAAGGCACAGCTTTTCGTTGTATAAATATTGTTTCAGATGAAAAAAATTGTGCTTTAATGTAAATAATGATTTAAAATGTACATATCTTCATATTATATTACTGTTGTTTATCGTTATTTAATACGATGTTATACAGTAATTTGTAATATTATAATTATAATTTATATATTATTATAATTTTAATTATAATTTTGTTATTATTGTTATTTATTTAAGAGAGATAAAAATAAACAGTGGAGTAATGCAATTTCTTATTTAAATTTCTTATTTATAGGCTTAGTTTATTTGCACAAATTAAATTTTCACAAATTTATTAATATAAACATAATTTTAGCGATTAATATTGCAAGTAGGTAACATACATATATGTAAAAACCATAAATAATTTATAAATTTAATATTAATAACTTTGATTTCAATATAATAAGTAAAATGACCCAGTTACAGTAGTTTTTTTTTCATTAATTGAACAATCAATGAATTTTTAAAAAAATAGAAAAGAGATATGTAATTAAATTATGATATTTCTCAGATAAAACTTTTATTTATCTAAATAAATCATTAAAATAATATATCAAAATATAAAAGATATTTGCTGAAAATATTATATTATATTATATTAAATTCGTAAAACAATGTAATTTATTCATTTTTATTATAGAAAATGCTAAAAAACAATAATTAGAATATAATCAAATAAAGATTTCATTATATTAATATAAATTATATTAATATAAAAATATTAAATTTCACATTATAAAAAATTTATTATAATGCAACAAAGTTTTTTTTATATTTCGATTAATATTATTTCATTTTTTAACAATTTATCCATAAAAATAATAATTAACATAGAAAAATAATAATTTTTAATAATATCAATTCTTTATAAATCTTAATACAAAAACAATTAAAAAAATATCTTCAAAGTATTTTCAACTTTAAAATCATCGCTAAATATTCATTAAATAAACCGTTTATTCAATGTGTATAGAATATACGTTTTTTTTATCCTAACCTCGACAATTCCAGAATAGTTATTAAATAAATAGATTCATTTAAATATAGACGCACTTTAATAATCACCGATATGCACACAAGAAAAGAATAGTTTCTTGAATAATTCCCGCATTTTTATCATTTTAGTTTTTTATGTCTAAACGCGTGTGAAAAATCACTGTTCTACATAGTAATCGTAACGCATCAAGCATCGTTCCGCGAGTGGACAAACGCGAGCATCCGGTAAACCGAGCGATTATCAAGATATTAACGAGCGCATGCGTATCAAAGGGCTCGAAAGATATCAAAAGTGTATATATATAGACAAAATTATTTTTTCTCGGCACGCGTTTCATCTACAAGCACGTGTGCACGGAAGTAGAGTTCTTAAACGTGTCCAGAAAATTAAATATTACTATTTAGCTTAGTTGCCAGACGCGTTTAATCAACACAAAGATGAGTAGTACCAATTGCCTTACATAAATTTAAATAGTTAATAAAACAGTCTATTTAATAAACATTTAGTGAATTAAAAGTTTTTGATTAATTTGAAAGTATTTTTTGCATTAAAATTTATGAAAAATTGATTATTAATTATTCTTTTATATTTATATATTATTATATTAATTATACATACATATTGATTATATATCATGTATATCATGGGTGATTTTCATTTAATTAAATTAAATTAATTTAATAAATTAATAATATCAAATATAATCATATTCTGCTCGATTAATTTTAATTTTATAATTAAAGAAAATGTAAAATGTAGAATGTCACTTCTTTCAAAAAGAGATCTAATATTGATATAATCTAATATTGATCTTAATCTAATATTGATATAATAATTTATTAGATACAATCAAAATATTAGTATATTGGTGGAATATCTATGAAAGGTTGGAATATATTCTAAAAATAAAAAAAAAAAAACAGAATTTAATAGTTAAATAAAAATATCAATTGAGACTTATTTATTAAATTTTTAAAAATTTATCTCATTATGAAAAAATAATTATTTCTAGAATAATAATGAATATATTCATCATACAAATATCTCTTGCTATAAAAATTGAAAATTAAAAATGGAAAAAAAATATATCGTATCCTTTAATTATTGTAATATTAATTATCGTAATATTAATTATCGTATATCTTTAATAAAGATATTAAATAGTCAATAATTTTTTATTTTTTTAAAAATATTGTTTTATTTAATATAAATGAATTAACAAAATTAAAGTATTCTTGTGAAAATGTCATTTTTTTAACTTAATTACTTATTTTTTTATTTGAATCCCAAATAAAATATTTGTTACTGTTCAATATCATTTTGGTAATTAACTAAATTGACAGAGTTTTAGAAATGTTAACAATTGAATTAGTAATTATAATGCTATTAGCTGAAATATTTCCAATTTAATGATATCGATAAATCATAAATAATATCGCGTTAAAAGAATTCTTGTGTTACGAGTAGGACAAAGGTTACCACCACGTAGAATTTCGCTCTATATTTGGAGGGATTTGTAACAAATGACACACTTTAAGCCGTTGGAATTCAACTGAATGATTGCAAACAACAGAATTTTCTCGCATTGGAAATTAAAACTTGTATAGTATTTATGTGTAAACGCTTCTTAAATGATTTTTAAAAAGAAGTATTTTCTTTGACTATAATAAAATTACAAGAAATTTAAAATAAGAAAATTAGAATAAAATTGAGAACCTTGTAATAAAAGAATAGATTCACATGATTATTTTTGAATTATTATACGTACTTAACAAATTATGCTAATTTTCTGGAAATTATTACAAATGAATCTTTCTCAGATTAGAAAATCCTATCTAACTTATTTTTCATCTTCCGAGTATATTGAATTACAAAAATTGCAAAAAGATTTGAAGTTCAAGAACTTTTTAAGTTTTGAAGAATTTCAAAACTTAATTAGTTAAAGATTAGATTTAGTTAAAGATTTTCTAATATGAATTTGAATCAATAAAAATAAAATCAATAAAAGTAATCTTAAAAAAAAATCTTAAATATTTCAATATAAAAAAATAGATTAATATTAATTTCATAATAAATGATTTATAATGAATTAAACAATATTCATATACATAAATGATCTAATTATATTTTTGTAACAATTTGCAAATAAATAAAAGCACTATTTATTAATAACAATGATCAATTAGTTTGCAACGAATTATATATGGTATTAAATTAATATCTTCAATAAATTAACAAGTTTATTCAATGTATAATTTAATAATTCATCATATATAAAACTTACTTCGTTTCCTAATGTATTCGTATCCATGGCATCCTGGTATTAGATAACAGGCGATCACGAGCAAGATAACAATGACGATCAATGCTATCACAACTATGATGAGTATTTGGCCCCATGGGCCAAAAAATTCATTGTCCACCATTCACTGCAAATATTCAAACTTACTACAGATATACTGAAATCTGTTTCGTTATTTCAATTTTTAATTTTTCTAATTTATATTTTATATTATATATATAAATTGAAATATTTCACATTTTCAGAGCACTATAATTGACGTATGAAAAACAAGAAAATTATTCATATTTGCATTTTATATTATATTCATCTGCCATATGATTCTTGTGTTAGAGGAATATGAAAAATGTGGTATGTTAATGCGAGTAGAAAACACTTGTGCTTTTTACGCTCATTTTTATCCATTCGAAAAAAATGAAAGGGGATTCCTAATGCAGAGAAGTACATATATATAAGTACACATTGAGTCAAATGAAACCACTACGCTTCAATTTTTTTTTTCTCTCTTTATTCGTTGCACTTGCGTAGTTTTTCAACCGTATCGGGATAAAGCACCTGTTGAAGGAAACATATATATCGAGTGCACCAGGAAAATGGCATATGGCTAATACCAACCGAATTAACGTTTATCTTAAGTTAAGTCACTGTTTTTAGCGAAAAACTGTTATAAATAATAGTTTATCTATATCAACGATTGTGCTTCTTTTCAACATCACATATCCTAACTATATAACGTTTCTTTTTAAAATCACCGTCTGCTCTTCCTTTTTTTTTCGCAGTTATGACATCGATCTTGTATCGAATTTGCAATTCGATCGATATTCGACGAATTTTTGAAATACTCACTCGACCAAGAGCCAGTATCATGATGTGAGACAAGTTTGATGGTGTTAGGTTAAATTAGATAGCATTTACGAGCTGTATCGAAAAAAACGACAAGTAAACCGAGAAAGGACGACTAATCGGTATGAATGTCCTTCGCAAACCAAAGCAACAACTTCAAGCGCGCTCGTCAACTACCGATGAACGACAAACGTATATTACACGCGACTGCATAGAACGAAGAACGAGTAACGTGCTATCTACATGCCCCTCTCCAACTTACGACGACACTGCCTAGTCCGCCGGTAGCTGGCAGTGCACGACTTACGTTTAATGCATACTAATCGAATGTCCCAAACAACGGAGAATTTTTAATTTCTGATTCCATAAACGATGGAAAAAAGAATATTTAAATACACATAAATAAAACTATTATTTTAATGATGCTCATTCGATTTCTTCTAGATTTGATTCATCATTCTTGGAAAAGATCCACGTTTCTAAGCGTGTGAATCACGAAGGCGAGTTTCATAGATATAAGAATATTTTTTGATCTTTTATTTAAATATGTGATTTATGTAACTATTATGCGTCACTAAATGTATAAATCATTTCGAACGAAAACAATCGAAGGATTTATATTTATTTATCTAATATTTTGAATAAAATAGGACAAAATTTTAGAAAGTGTTAAAATTTATGAAAGAGTTTTTTTCGATAGACATTTTACCGTATTACACCGTTATACGTAGTAAACCTTAATGTTCAACGAGGAAACTGTGGGTTACGACTGATAACATGTATGGTCTCATGCATGTGTCCACGTTTTGTATTAACAGCATTGACGATAGAACGCATATAGACAATGTTATTGTATGTATTTTTCAACAAAATTTTCTTCGTTACATATATATTTGCATTTTTTGGCAAATTTTCATTAATGTTTAATAAATTTTCTGATCATTTTATTTTAATTCTATTAATTTAAATGTGTCAAAGAAAGTATTATAACAGAATAACATTAAATAATTACAATTTATTATATTAATGACTTACTACATAAATATTAAAAACTTTATGTTTTCGAAAAAACGTGTTGTTTAAAAATTTAATAGCACTTTATAATAAATATTTTTTTTTATTATATTTATAATTTTATGTAACTAGGTATAGTAGAACCTCATTTATACGAACGAGTTAATGTTTAATGAGCGTAGTTTCAGTTATACGAATGTGTATTTTTATAGGCCAATGATATGTTTGCATTTTGCAATTCATTGGGAAATTTATAAGTATATAATATATAATTTCAATTCCAGAACGTTTTTAATAATAATATAAAAAAATATGTAATAATAATAGAAATCATTAAAGAAAACATTTATATTTAACAAAAATAATTAATAAAAATTAATTAATTATAAAAATAACTAATTTTTATTTAAAACCTTTAAGCTTGCAAATTTCTTCAAACGATTAAAAAAACAATCAGCTATTTTTCACTAATTAACACTGATTATTATCAATTGTCATCAACTAATCATCAAAATTAAGATAGTAATTTTGCATTACAATTTTGACTAAAAAATTTTGATTTAAATATAGAATAGAAAACATTTTTTGAAGAATCAAAATAATATACTTTAGTTTTTCAAATATTAATATCTTTGTCAAAACTATATCAAAAACAATATGCTAGTGAGAGATGCTAGTGAATTTCTTTTGTGAAGTTATTTACTTATATATTTTGACAATTATTTGAATTGCCTTGTCTTTAAGGTATTTGAGTAATGACTCTATTTGTATTTGTATATTGTTTATTTTGTTTATATTTGATTATAGATATTTAAAAATTTAAGAGTTGATTTTTGAAAATAAAATAAGAAAAATAAAAAATAAATATAGGTTAAGCAATGATTTTCAAATGCAATAATATACAAACAGCAACTTATTTCATAAAAAAAATGCCTGCGTATATTTTTATTTTATTGATTTTTAATTATCAATAATTAAAAAACGAAACTGAAAATGCAACTTTATTATTCTTAGCAATAATGATATATAAAAAATAAATATACTATATTCAATCGAATACAAAGATTATTTTGGGTATATATTATATATTATATATATATATTATATATTGGATATATATTATACAAAAAAAAATAAAATATTTTGAAATATTTTTAATTAAATATTATATTAAGAAATATAAAATATCAAAAAAAAAATAATATAAAATAAATATAAATAAATATAACAATTGCANTATTATACAAAAAAAAATAAAATATTTTGAAATATTTTTAATTAAATATTATATTAAGAAATATAAAATATCAAAAAAAAATATAATATAAAATAAATATAAATATATTTATATATATAATATAAATAAATATAACAATTGCAATATAATATCATAAAAATAAATAAGAAATAATATTTTTAATTTACAATAAAACGAAAACGTTTATTTAAAATGTTTTATTAAATTTAACATTATATCTTTGATCATTATTATAATACATAAAATTACTATTCCTTTTCTGTCTTATAATATATATTAATTAATTATCAATGTTACTTCCTAATGAAAATAACATTGACACATCATACCAATAGTATTAATATAAATTAAAATTACTAATCTAGATTTATTTTATTTATTTTATTATTTATCCAGATTTGGCATTTAAATTTATTCCTTTTCTATTTTTACTTTTACTTATTTTTTTGAATAATTAATTTATTTTTATATTAATTAATTTATCGATATAATTAATTATATAAAATAATTAATTATTAATATTTACAATTTTATTTAATTATTTGCATCATATTAAAAAATTTTTAATTCATAATTAAATATTTTAATTATCTTAACTAAAATCTATATTCTAATTTATAATTATCAACATAACATTGATTGTGTCAATGTTATCCAATGCTGCCAACATATCTGCAATGTAAAATATAAAAAATAGTAAATAGTTATAAGTATTTCCTTTTGATAGTAATTTGAGCAATGGTAGACAAACTATTAATCTTATACTTGACAAACTACTTTCAGTAATGGAAAATTTATGTCAATATTTAAGAAACAACTTCAACTTCCTTTGCATCGGAGAAAAAGTTTTTCGAGTATGTTGTTTAATTAAATTAGAACTTGTTTGCACTGATCAAGTTTTATTACATATATTTGTTGCTCTACTTCATCTTGTTATTCATTGAATTACAACTGTATCGGTATGTATATGAGAAAAAGATTTCTAAAAAGAAAAAAGATTCTCATTAAAAAGAGACTTTCTTGACTCTCGATTCCATCCGGATATATCGTTAATCAAACTTTAATAAGTTTCGTTACACTTTTTTCTTTGATTAAAAAACAACTTTTACATTATATTAAAAAACTAATCAATAATCGTATTAATATTAACGAATAAGAAAACGCAATTAATTAATTAATAATAATTAAAATCATTATTTCAAATAAAAAAAATAAATAAATGAAATATTGAGAAATAAATTATTTTCAAATAATTTATTCATCAAATATTAGATTATTTTAAATAGTAAAAAAAGAAAGATATTTAACAAATAATAAAGCTTTTTTTACACTAGAAATACAGATTTCATCAAATACATCAAGAAATATGTAAAAAGTATAAAAGGAAATAGGTTAGGTATCAGTTAAAAAATACAAAACACTACTTACTACACTACTTACTAGACAAAAGAAGAATGGCTTTTGAAAATAAAAACTCCATTCGTAAAAAAAACCATTTTATCGCAAGAAAATATATTTTTATTTTCATAATTGCAATCAAATAATGAATATGTAAGTATTCAAATAAAATAATAAATATTAAAATAATTTATTTTCAAAATACATTATATTTTCATTATATTATATTTAAGTTAAGTATTGTTTAAAATAAAATAATATAATAAATAAAAAGTAAAATAAAAAATCTATTTAAATGATTATTTAAATAAAAATTTATTTTGATCCAATTATGAAGATTATATATGCAAATAAATAAATTAATAAATTGATTGCTCATTCATAGATATATTTTATTTAAAAATTAAATATATTTGAATTGTTCCTTTTCATAAATTTTTATATTCAATATATTTAATATTTAATGTTATTCAATATTTTAATATTGATTTTATGGCTTTTGATTTTTTTTGCGAAAAAATTCGATCAAATTATATTGTAGTATTTTTAAATAAAAAATTAATTGATTTATCATTCGTTATGAATTAATATTATAATTTATATTAATTAATTAGTTAATTAATATTATGCATTTATTATTAAGATTATGCATATCGATTTCAAATTCATTATTCTTGAATGAAACATACCGATCTGCTGACAGTTGTGCAACTAGATTGCATAAAATTCAACGATACTGTGAAATATGATACATAAAATGAAAGAAACTATATGCCAATCATATATTTTATTTTGAATTCTATCAATTAAGAGATATCAAGAGATATCTGAATAAAATTATTTTTCAGGTAAGATTTTAGAATTTATTTGGAAATTTTTATTTTAAATAAATTTATTTTTTATTCTTTTTAAAGTAATTATTTTTATATTATTCTTTTTATTTATTTTTATTTCAAAGAAAATATGTCCAAATAGAAGATTCTACTTTAAATTATTAAAAATAATTATTTTGTGCAATAGTTAAAAAAAATATTTGCACATTTTTTTATTTATTATAACTTTGATATTTTAATTAATTAAATCGAAATGCATTATTATTTAATAATATTTTCATATATAAATATAAAGATATATGATTTTTATATGCAAATGAAATGAAGAACATGATAAAAAACGTTTTATTGAAAAATAATATATGCTAATATTTTGTAGCCACTAAAAATATTTCAAATAATTATAAAACAAATATATTATTTCAAATAATATTTCAAATAATATCTTTTCAGATTAGGCATGCCCAAATCTGATAATAGGAAAAAAATCAAGATCTTGAACTGCCATTGAAAATAACAGATTGTAAAACGAAATTTCACTTTTGTTGTTCAACCGAGCGAATATGTAATTTTCATCTTTTTCCATAAGTCCTCAAACAAGAGCGAATTTACATTTCATAAGGTATTTATATGTTTCTATAAAATCTCTTATAAACTGGTTAATTAAAAAATATTATTTTCATAAAAAAATATTCTTAAGATACGTAAAAAAATTATTACTATTTCAAGCGATATGATAATTTCAAGCGATAACTTTTATATAATTTTTGCGATAGAAACACTCAAGGCCTCGTTAAACGGCAAAAAAAAACCGTGAATTCTTCTAATTATTATCTATGTTTACAGTTATATTTATGTGGAATGAGAATGTGTAAATTTATAAAAAAATTGAAGAAAAAAAATAAAATGGATAATTGAGATACGTCGAAAATTCAGATAAACGCATTTCCGAACAGAAAATTCTTTTCTCCATTCTTTCGAGACATTGTAATGGATTATTAATTTAGTTATATAATTCGATAAAGAATCATATTACGCAATCAATATAATTATAAAAATTTGCATGCATCTTATGAATTCATCTAATGAATTCAATTAATAAATTGTATTATTAAAACTAATTAAAAAAATAATTTTGTTTCATATTTATATTATCTATTTTATATTTTATATTATAAAATTATAAATGTACAAAATGTTAATTATTTCTGGAATATTTTTGGTAAGTTAATTCTAGAGACTAAAATAAACATAATTAAAATAGAATAAACATATAATAAACTTGATAAAATATCGGTTGAAGTTTATTTATTCAATTGTAATTTTTGCATATCAAATGAAGCAGAAACAGAATACATAGTGATAATGGAAATAGAACGATTTCATTATATTTTCGTCCTCTTTCTTTTAATACTTAAATTATTCATTACTTAAATAATCTAACAACTGATTTATTTTTTATGCATTTTTTATCAACTTATATGTTTATTTTGGCTTGGTTTTTCAATATATTAAAATTATATTCTGCATACATTAAAATTAATTTTCCTTGTAAGGTAATGTATAAGAATTTCTGTCACTGATTGTATTTATCATTTTGCATATTTGAAATATAAAATATGATTAATATGATAATATGAATATTATGCCAAAAAAACTATGAAAAAAAACTGTGTAAAATAAAAAAAAAAAATTTCAGGTACATTATGTATTGTACAATATTGAAATATTTATATAATATATACATTATTTTCATAATATTTTCTGCAAACTGAGATGCGTTTTTGTAACCATGTTGAAATAAGTAGAACATGTTAAAAAACACTATGAAAAAGGTAATAATTATACAGAAAAAATTTTAAGTGCATTTATCTTTTCAAATCAAAATAATATATATATGCATGTAAAATCAAAAAAATAATATATGCATGTTATTTATATGAATGTTATTTATACAAAGAAAAAATTAACTTTTACATAATATATTTATGCAAATAATGATTTATTTGCAATTATTTACAATTAGATTTATTTAAATACTCTTCTTTTATTTCAGAATATACTGGAGTAATATTTAAAACATAGAGCTGTGAAGATTATTATTGTTCATCATTATTTAACTATTATGTACCAGATATTCAAAAATATCCAAAAATTTAAAGATGTTTTTTTAATCCAGAATAAGATTAAGAATAAGAATAAAAAGATTTATATATTTTCAATCTTGTTTTTAGTTATTAATAAACAATAATCGATAAAAATAACGCTGGACGCGAATATTATATTATATTCTAAATAGTAATAATTTAATAGTTCAAAATAATTCTGAAATTTTAAAATAATTATTATATGCATCTGAAATGAGTATCAATCTTTAAAATTTTCATGGCATAAATTAATTAATTGGCTAATGATTAATAAAATTAAATGATATTACAATATCATATTAACGTTACACAGTTTACCTATTTAATTTTTAATTTGCCAAGTTTTTAATTGTTTAAAATTAAATTGTTTATAATTTAACAAATAAGCAATATTTTTGTATATTAATTGTTATATTAGTTTCAGTACCTAAAATTGATCTAAAACTAAAGTCTCATGTAACAATTTATTATATAAATAAGATATTTTAATATCAAATCATATAAATATTATTTTAAAATAAATATTAAAATAATTTAAATTATAAAAATATAATATATTTTCTACGTAATTCTAATAATAATAATATTTATTTATAAAATTATTTTAGTTTTCTAATATTTGTTCTTATTTTTAATTTTTTCCTTTAATGTAAAATAATATGAATATATTATTTTTTTAAATTCCGTTAAAAGGACTTTAAATAACAATGCAATATATGTACAGCTAATGTTGCACAGTTTGCTTATCTACAGATAAACATTTTTAATCCAAAATTAAATTGTTTATAACTTAATAAACAAATTTTAATCGATATTTTCATATAAAATTTCGATCTTTAGAATCGAAATCTTCCAAAGATCTTTCATAAATATATTATTCGTATAAATCATATTTTGTTTCCAATTGTTTCTATCTATATTAAAATATAATATTTATTACTATTCAAATATTTTTAAATGGAGGGGGATAACAAGGAAACGTAGAGAGAGTTCATCCTCGATCTATTGAGTCTCTTTGACCTCGATCCCCAATCCGACATCTCCTTTCACTTGAACACTTTTTTCGAGAGCTCTTTCTCGCACCGACTGTCGAGAAACGCGATTGCATTCGATCGCGCGCGCGACGTGCCATAGCTCGGCTCAAAGTCCCGTTACCTGCCAGACGTTTAGATTTCACTTTCATGTAAGTACTAAGAGCCACAGATGTACGTTTAGTTGGTGATCATTTTCGCACTCGTCGAGATCGATCGAGAATCAGTGAGTCGAGATCTTGCATCTTCGGAACGTTTGGATCGTTATTCGATCACTTTCTTTCCTATATTGATTTTCATTATGTGATAGTGTGTTCGGAAAAAGATACGAAATTTTTTAATTTCCATTTGATTAATTAATTGCTTCTGGAATTTCTATGAAAAATTTTTAACATGTGATTTTGTTTGAATTTTAAGAAAGAAAAGATTACCATCAGTGTTGTTTTAATGTTGATAATAAAAAAGTTCACCAAATCAATTACAGATGGCCCTCAAACAATGCGGAGTTAAAAATATTAATTTTCGGCATAAGTTGAGAGTCAATGTAAAATTGTGTATTCACTATATAATTTTCTTATAATAAAATAAGTATAAAAAATGAATTAGAAAATTAGTTTAAGCAAATATAGATTGATTAAGCAAAGTATGAGAAAAAGAAAATATATTACCGTTCATATGTGTTAAATATAATTTATGATTTATAACCATTAAATATTATAAAATTTGTTAGAAAAAATCTGTGAGTAACTAAATCTGCAGTATTAAAACTCATATTATTTATGGGCCAATATAATAATTTCTTTTTAAATTTAATCAGTTCGAGATTTATTATAGAAATAGTATAAAATTTTTAATCGTATAAGCTATTAAAGCTTTTTTAAATTTGGCAATTCGAATTCATTTCCATGTTTTATTGACATTTTTTAGTCCATAAGTGACAAGAAAAAAAATGTACTGAGTGAAAATAAGTGATAAGTGATAAGTGATGAAATAAAAATGAAAAAGATTTAAATTTATACATTTAATATAATACATTTAAATAAATTTAATATCATAAATTTACAATATCGATTCATTTATCGATTTTAAATTAATTTATTTATTTTATATATATTTATACATATTTTAATTTATTAGTGTCTTTTTTATCAATAAAATTACAAAAATATAATAATTTCATAAAAAAAAATTAAAATTACGTTTGAATGCAAATAAAAATCTCGAATTGCATATAATATTAATTATTACAATTAATTAATTTCAAGAATATTATGAAAATAATTGATTGCGATTATTAAAATAATTACTGTCATTTATAATGTTATAATTTATTTTATCCCTAAATAAGATTTAAGAAAGCATAATCGATAATTGAGGATTTCAATCAAAAGTGAAAGATTTACAGAATGAAAATCAATGTGCAATTTCCATGTGTGTAGGTCTATTTGATGGAAAAATGTCGAACACGACAAGCGTATTAGTGAAATTGTGTATCCTGATGCTTCTTTATGAATGTAAGTGATGATTATACATTACATATATTCCGTCCTTCGCCTATTTTCAACAGAAAATAAAAAAATTGTTTTGCATAAATTATTAATTATAATCTGCAGGAAAAAATATCTATAAATATTTATAAAAAAGTATAAAAGTAATAAAATATATTTGCAATAAATATTTAAATATGTCAATGTATCTCATAGATTTTGATTAAATTTTTTTTAAATATTTTGTTATAGCACATAACGAGAAAAATAAAAAACTTTGGAAATTGGATTTTGAAAAAAAAATAAAAAACAAAAAATTTTTACAAAGAAATTTATATTATTATTATATTCAATTATAGCTTATATTTATATTAGCTTAGAAAATAATATTTACCTTAATTCACACTCATTACTTACAAAAGTGACAGTAAATGGGGATATAGATATTTTGAGAAATCTGAATTATATTTATTTTTATAATTAACGGTTTCTTTTAAAAAAGAAAGTTTTACTAGTAAAAAAAGATAGAAGAAGCATTTCTCAATAAGATAGGAAACAGCGTTAATATTTTCTTTTTTGAAGTATATCTTGACTTTCTAGAATTAGGTGTGTGCTTTAAAAAATTGAAGTTTTAGTTTCAATTAGAGAGAGATAACTTCGCAACAAGCAATGGCAAAAATTATGAGAATTAACTAGGCACATCCCATTTAAAAAAATTATAAGTACATATTAAATTAAATACATAAGTTTCAATATAATTAAAAGCATATAAATTTCAAATTCGATTTATTTTTTCAGTTTAGTACTATAAATTTTTAAAAGAAAGACATAAAAATTAATAGAAAAGATTCGTTCCAAAATAATTATTATGAAATTATTAATAATGATTATTATATAAAGATAATATGCTAAAAATCTTCGTTGAAAAATAAGATTAAATAATAAATAATAACATAATAATAGACACAATTATATAATAATAGAAACATTATTATTAATTGTTTCAGGTGCAACATGTCTTGTAATCCCGGAAGAGTTGCCAACAATACTTTCATTGATCTATTCCAACATTCCACCAATCAAGAAAGGTAACGAGATTAAATTACAACTTGCTCATGTCTAGCTATTTTCAAATACAAATGAAAATAAAACATTCTCAGGCATGATTTACATCGAGAATGTTTTATCGTCGTCACGCGAATACATGATACCACTTTCACTGACTAGTCGTGTTTCGCTTTTTCAAGCTTATCTCTATACTCTCTCTAGATTTTATTAAAAGTATCTTATTTAATATTCTAAAACATTCAAGAAAACTGAATTTCTATTTTCTTTGCACTTATTAAGAAAAACAAATTTTATATTTCCACAAATAATGTTTAGAATCTTCTTTTACTGAAAAATATAGAAATATTGAAAATTAAAATATTGAAAATATTTGAAAATATTTATTTGAAAATATTCAAATATTTCAATATAGTTATAGAAATATTAAAATAAAAAAATAATAAATAAAACATTTTAATTAAAGAGAGCAATATACATATATACACAATATTAATATAATTCGTGATACCATGATTGATTATAGATACCAAACATATAAAAAGATGTTTATTGAAATTTATTTATTTAATTATAATCAGTTTAAGATTATATTATATGAAATATGATTATATTATATAAATATAAATGAGAAACAGAGTGATTTCATTTAAATAATCGTGAATTTAAATTATTTATAATTTAAATAAATAAGATTTAATTAATATTTTTGTATATTAATTTTTACTTTGACATCTAGAATCGATTTTCTAAAATTGAATTCAATACGAAATATAAGTATTAACATACTGTATATGATTGCAGTTTAATACAAATTGTAAACTTGGTTAATTAAAATTGTTTTATTTATGCCAATAGGTACCGATTCGAGGATAGGCATTGGTTTCCGGCTTGGCGAACATGCAGATTTTCAAATGTTATTTGAATTAGGACCACAAATGGAAACTGAACCCATTGGTAATACAGATACTAAAAGACGTCGAGATGTGAGTATTTTTTTAACAAATAATTGGTAATTATCAATAATTATATACAATTAATTCTTCATTTTTAATAATTATATTTAATCCATTCTTCATTTTCGCAACTTAATGTGTTCCTCATCTGTCAAATTGACATAATGTCAAAAACATCAATGAAATGAAAATCAACGTTCATCAATTTTCGCTAACAATACATTTTAATATCATTAAAATTGGTAAGGTGTTTTTTTTTATTCATACGTATTCATAGAATGGCTCATGAAAATATTTGAACATTTTTTTAATAATATTTTAATGAATCATTTTTTATTTTTAATGAAATTTTGTATTATATGTAAAGCAATTTTTTTATATGAATATTGTTTAACAAAGATGAAATCAACGCTCAAAAAACTTTTTTTCCATTTTTTAAAATTCTGCATAATTCTGCAATAGTGACTTAGGGTAAAATTTTAAATTATATGATGTTCAAATTCAATCTTCTATTATTTTATTTCATTCAGACAAAATTTTATTCAAAACATGGAACTTTAAAAATTTATTTTAACTGCTGAAAAAAATTTTCATTGGAAAAAATTTTTTTTATATATTTGCATCTATTATGTTCTCATTAAAATCAAAATTTTTTTTGAGTAAATTTTTTTATAAGAGTATTTTTATGAGCCACCGTACATTACGTAACTAAGAAACTTTTGTTATTTTTTTTTATGATAAAAAATATAATAAATAATATAATATAAAATATAATATAAAATAAAAAATCGTTTATGAAACCTGCAATTATTATTTTATAAATAATTGATGAAATTTAAAGTTGGATAGATATTTATAATAGAAATATTTCGAATTATATACTTTGTGCATATTTATTACATTTAATTTTCCTTTTCCATTGCAAAAAACTAACAAAATTTTCTTGATTACTTAATAATTACTTTATTTGATTAATTTTTAATAACTAAATAATTACTTTATCTTTAAATATATAATCCATTTGTCATAATTATTTATCTTCATACAGGCGATGCTCAGTGCAGCAATGAAAGGAGACTTGGGTCCACTAGCTCAAGCGGTGGCTAAATATCAATTGGAACGTAAATTGCGGAAAGAATTGGAAAAATTAGATACGATGGAGAAGAAGTTAAAGGTGGTTGCATCGGAGAACGATAATAAGAAAGTAAATTCAAATAATTCTTTCTTTTCCCTTATTCTTGACAAGATATAATCTTGAAAATTGAAAAAAAAAACCAAAAGCAAAATATAACCAAATAATGATCGTATCTTTTGTTTCTTTTAGACTACAGGTAATGAATGGTTAACGAAGTGGAGCAAAGAAATGACAAAATCAACCGAGGATCAAGCATCTGTGGAAAATATTTCAAGCGAAAAGAACAAATTATTTGTAGAAACTCAAAGGATAGGACAATCTCCAGAATTAAATAGCAATAAAAGTACTATTTCTGATTTAAAGAAATTATACAAATCACAAAGTGCCATAGAGGAAAAAAAAAACTGAAGAATTTATTTATAATATATTAGGAAATATATTTTTTTAAATATTTGTATTTAATAAAAATTATGAATAAGAATATATATACGTATAGTGAAAGTAAATAGTGAAAAACATAAATTCATTATCATTAAGGAATTTATAAAAGAGTTCAAGCAAACAGTTGCCAATTAACATGTTAATTTATAAAGGTTTTCTTCTTGTACATAAGAGAATAATAAAAGTATTGGATTTTTGTTTTACGCAAAAATATATAAAAATATATAAATGAATAATAATTATAATAATTTATACTTCATTTTATAATTATTTTTTTGAGATAAGAAAGATAATAATCAAAATATTACTATTAATTTTCAATTAAAAATTTTAATAATCACATTTGACTTCTGATAAGAAACAAAATCAATTTTATTCAATATCTTTGCGTTCTTATTTATTTAATGTGCTTTACATATACATATATCTTGTAAGGAATATAATACAAAATAATACAAAATAGTATTATTAATGATAAAATTAATGTTCTTTTAAAATTTTTCTACACATTCTATTCTTTTCCTTTAAAAAAAATTTTAAAATAATAAAATTGATGATTTACACATTATGCTATTTGTTCTAGAGTTTTGAATTTTTTTTAAAAAATAAAATAGGTAAAAAATACTATGAAAAAGGATCAACATTTTGATATTTCGATTTTATTATGAAAATAGACGTTTTATTACATCGAATGAAATTTATGCATATAGAAGAAATGATTCTAAATATTTCTTCCATCAAGGAAATATCGAGTAATTACTTATTACCAGCAGCATAAATAATAACAAAAAATAAATATAATAAAAAAAGGGTGAATTATAAAAAATACTAAATAAATAATTTTGAAAATTTATTGCATAATTGCTATACATTTGTATATGATGGTTATTATTTGGATAGTTTATATTTTGAATATAAAATTTATATAATTATTAATATTAAATTGTAGTAAAATGTTTTGAATGAAATGAAATTATTTTTAAAAAAATTTGTTAAAACTATTATAAATAATATTATATTCTGAGTAATAGAGTATTGAGAGCAATTATTTGAACTTCATTGTATAATTATATTAAAAAACAATATAAAATATTAATTTTTGTATTGCTTTTCTTTAATCCGAATATTGTAAAGTACATTATTTTTAATATTTTAATATTATTTGAACATTATTTTTAATATTTCAAATTTTTAATAAATGAGAATTTCGTTAACTATTTATTTATTTTATATTTGATAATTCATATAATTTTTACGATAGTCATAGTAAAAAAAATGTAAAAACGTAAAACACCATGAATTTTTATGTGATCAATGTTTAGAATATAAAGTTTTATAAAATATTGGATTTATTGAATTCACTATCGATGATTATATATAAAAAAAGTTTAACATTTAAACAAGAGATGATAGTTAAAGAGCATACTCAAATTCTTTTCTGTTGGTAATAATGTGTGACAAGTTTGGTCATAAAAGATAGCGCCACAAGTTAAATACTAAAAAAAATAAATTTGTAAAAAATTAATTTTTACATGTAAATATATTTTATATGCACATATCTACAGTGATCCCTAAATTCCTAAGAAAAAGCATTGCAATTGCAAAAGCATATTCTGTGTTGAATTAATATTTATTATCGGTCTTTGATATTTTGATTTAGTCATAAGGATTTCTATATTATCGACTTAATAATAAACAATAGATATAAAATAAACAAAAAATAATATTGTTCATCAACACAAGAATCACAGATACAAATATAAAAGATATTTAGTCTGTACCGATGATTCTTGATCTTTATTTTGATATATAAAATGATATATAAAGTTTTCTCTATCATCATATAAAGAATTTTCTTCTATTATATTTTATTATAACAACCGAAATTAAACAAACTAAAGAATAAGAAAGTGGAAATCTACACTGTTAATTAAATTGATATCTTGAAAATTAGTTTTGAAGTAAAAGTCTTGTCATCAATGTAATATTGCAAAATGTCTGAAATAAACAGCTAAAAATCAAAATGAAAGGATATGTAAAAATAAAATTTAAGATAAAAAATCGTTTATAACATGATGTTAGTTAGATATGATCAAAAAACACATAAATCAAAAATTGATAAAGTCACGCATACATTGTTCGAATTTTATCACGTAGCATCAATCAAAAAAAAAAATTATGCAAATATATAATCTATGAAAAAAAATTTAATTTAAATATTTAAATATTATAATTTTCAATATTTTTAAAATTATTTTAAAGATTTGTTTTTAATTAATCAATAGTAATATTTCAACAGTCGATAATATAGAAAATATAAATATATGTATTATCATATGTACTATTATACATATTAGAAATGTAATTCTTTTTTTCATAAATATTTTTCTTGTAAAGTGTGTATACATTGTATGATTAAATGGTGATTAAAATAATAAAAAATAATTATTTAACGAAATTAAAACTTAGTTTGTCCTTAAAAATTTTTTTTTATATGTACAAATTTATGATTTTTCATTTTCAATAAAAGATTTTGATGTTGTAAAAGACTTTTATATAAAGTCACCATTACCGTTTCATTTCTTTCGAATAACCTGTCTGATCTTTTGCGGATCTTGAAGTCTTCTCACGAGGAGTAGATTGATGAGAGCAACAATGTGGTGTTTTCTCCGAACAGCAACTTTTTGATTTTGGTTTCTGCTTACTTTTCCCATTTATTCGTCGAATGATTTCTTCGATAAATCTTTGATCTTTCTCATTTAATTCAGCTGCCAAAATGTTCCTTTGACATCCCTCTTGTCCCCTGTAATTACAAGTCAAACAGTCCTTTTATAAAAGAAATATTGGTGTCTCTTCCAAGAAATAAAATACTCCGAAAGGCTGCATTAATCGATGTTCATATTTAACCCATTAACTTTCTTCGCTAAATTTTCATTAATATGCTAAAATATTTCAAATTTTTTTATAATAATAAATTATAACGATAATAACAGATGTAATATATTTTGATATAAGAGCAAATATATATTTAAGAAAGTTTAATATTTTGCATAAGTTGATATTCAGAATAATTAAAAAATAATTTTCATTCTCAGAGCACTTTTAAGAAATATTTTCGAAAAGTAATTTTCAAAAATTTTGTTGTAATGTTTTTATATAAGAGAAGAGATTAAGAAAAAGGATTAAACATCGATCATAAATAGTTGGATAAATAAGATTCTTTTGTATTTGTAAAATAATTTATGAACCAACAATATTAAGTATATAAACAAATAGATTATAAATTGTAGGTTATAAAATTCTTATTTTATAATTTTATTTATAATTTATGTTTACTTGATTTCATTTTCTTCATTAACAAACTTTATGCAATTTGATGAAAAAATTGATTTGTATTTTTGATATAATGTAAATATTATATAATGCAAAAATAAATATCAAATCATATTTTTCATTTGTAAAATTGATTATGAAATATGAATGAATATTTAATGCCAATACAATTCTGTATAAGATTTTCGACATATTATATATACATAATATATATTATTGTATATATAACCTATAATTTATAATTTAATAATTTATAACTTATTAATTAAATAATATCATTGATTGGGAAATTATTGTAACAAAAAGACTCTCTTATCCATAATACAAATTTAATAGAATTTTTATACTTATCATTAATATACTTATCATTTTATACTTATCAAAATTATCATCTTATAATACAGATATAAATATAAATATACATATCTACATATATAGAATTATATTATTATGAAAATAATTACATATTATAATATAATTTAATTACATATTATATATATGTACAGTTATATTTCTATTTAAATAAAACAATATTAATTTAGTTTAAAAGTACTTATACTATTTATAATTTTAATTTTATAATTGCGGAAACAAAAAAATATAACCAATCAATTTAATTTGTTTGGTAGTTCTAATTAATTTATCTTTAAAGAACAGACGAATATCGAATTAGATAAATATAGAATTTTTTTTCAACTACAAAAAAAAAATAAAAAAATAGAATTGATTTTTCAATTTCAAAGAAGTTAATAAATAAATAAAAATTTAAATAGAAATTTATTTTTATCGAAAAGATGACAAAATGAATCATGCAATATCTTTGATAATAAATATTAAATTTTTAAACGTACATGCCAAAAAATGTAACTCCAATCAATAATATATATATAAGATGGTAAAATTATTTTAATAAAATTAAAAAAAAAATGATAAAAAAAAATTATAAAATAAATCATAAAAAAATCATTTATTCCTTGTGATATCAGATATTAATTTACTTATATAAGTTGATATAAGTAATAGATTATTTTTTTTATATCATAAATTTAACTCTTTTTTAAAATAATTAGTTTATCATATTACAATAATTTTTCTTTCTTTCTTTAAATTGTTTCTCTCTCATTTTGCAAAATATATAGATAACTTATGATTATTTTTTAACTTATTTTAATTTTTCATTAAGCAATTAAATAATTTTTATTACCCAATTTTACCATTTAAAATTTATAATCAGATAAATTAAAATTTAATTTAACATCACAGTTTTTAAGATATTATTGTAAAAGATTTTTTTGAAAGAAGAAATAAAAGGAATGGATAAATGAGTAATAAATAAGGAATAGATAAAAGAAAGAACAAAAAAATATTAAACAGAATGACAAAATTTCTAAAACTGATTCTAATGTAACCAATTGAATTTAGAAAATATAGAAATTTCATTGTATTTATAGACAATAATATATATCGCAATTTTTCTACATAAATTATAAAAATGATGATAAAGAAAAATAAATTAAACTATTTATTATGTTAATTAATTACTTATATTAATTAATTACTTATACGTAATTAATTACTAATTAATTACGTATAATACTATTACTGTAAATTATATTTATATAAATTGTATCATTTATTACGTAAGATATGAAATTAATTATTAATGTCTTAAATTAATGTCTTAATTTTCGGATCACGTTATATAGCTATATATATATATATACACAATATATATATACACAATAATATATATTGTAATTTTTGAATTCACAGAAATTATCATAAAAACAAATAAATAATTAAATTACAATTGTATTTCTCATGCAAGACTTGGCCACAAATATTAAGGAATTAATGTCTTAAAATTATGCTATACATATAGAAAATTATTATTGCACGTAGGAAGAGACAAGCGAAGGGAAATCTTCGACTGTCTGGCGCAAAGAGAAAAGCTCGCTCTTCTCGTTACGAAGAAGCGACATTCTCGACGGTACATTCCGGAGAACGTTTCGCTAATGAAACGACTAAAATGCGGAGAGTGTATCCCGCTTTAACCGATAAGGATTACTATATTATGTTATATTCTCTGACAAAAAGTGAGAATGACTCTATGTCGTGCGATTTTTTTTTTTTTATTCGCTTTTTCTTGTTCATGCTCTGTTTATTGTTCTAACGAATATTCTTGTTGATTTATATTTCGTTTCTTCTTTATTTTTTTTACCTTATTGCATCGTGTTATTTCAAGAAATTAATTGTCAGAAGTTCTCGACATTAGAGGAAATTGAAGTTGTAATTGAAGTTTAACGAGCATAAAATTGTGTCTACTCTCGATATAAGAGAAATAAAGTGATATTGTTCACCTTTGGTAATTGTACAGTTTCGCGATTAATTTGTTCAGATACAAGTTGTCCTTCTGTAATGACTTCAACTCTGATTCCTTCTCCTGAAATTGAATTAAACATGATTGATTATTTCGAATTATTAATATACATATTATAGTCAATGTTTTTATGTTACATAAAAATTCTAAATTTTTAGTTAATTTATTTATTACATGAATATGAATAATATAAATAAATACAATACTGCTTTTTTTTTTATCAATATAATATTATCATATATTAATCATATAGGAATATTAATCATATAGAAGATATAGGACTATGTATGTAACGCCACATGATCATTAACTACATTTTATATTTATATTCAATAAACTTATACTTATTTATCTATTCTTTTTATTATTTTTAAAATTATTTATTATTATGTTCGATTTTATTTTAATCACAACTTCATCAATATGTATCAATAATGGAATTTTTATAAAAAAAGAAATAAAAATTAAGTAAATTATAACTATTTAAAATAAAAATAAATAAAAATTAAATAAATTATAACGTATAAATCATGATGTGCATTTATAAAATATACGTAATTTACAGATCATGCATTTAATGAATCTTAACACCATTACCAATAATGTGTTTGTCGCAATTTTGAGTTCCTCGTTACGTGTTTCCGAAAGATGACGAGCTGTGATCGTCTCTGTGGTTAATCTTGTCAACTGTTGTCTATAATTATGTTCTCGTTCCATTGCCTTATCCCATGCTTCCTCTCGTGCAATTATGGTATCTCGAAGAGTTTGCATATCCTTTTCCAATACTTCTAATTCTGATCTATTGTAATTATATCATTTTAAAAATGTGAACACTTGAGAATAATGATTATCAGTGAAACAGTACTAGCAGCATTATGGCATTAATATATGTGCTTAGATACTTATTTATCTTTTCATATAATTCTTTAATTATTTTATTATTTTCTCACTTTTCAAATATTCGAATTATTATATTTTTCTATAAACATAAAAATATATTTTGTTAATTTTTGATATTAAAATTATGCTTGAAATTAATCAGTTGTTATATATATTGTTAAAATTATAAATATATATTTAAAAATTAAAAATGTTGAGAATTGCACAATTGTTCTTGGCAATTATTATTTCATTTATAATACTATGTTCAAAATAAAAAATTACTCAAACAATTCAAAGCTAGATTTGAGATATATTTCTACTATATGAACATTATTTAAAACCAATTGTTTCATCTTTTCTTTAATATACTTCGAATTGTTTGAACAAATGCATTATTGAATACAAAAAGGAGAATAACGACATAAAAGATAACGTATTTACTTCGTAATTGTGACAGTAGGAGGTTGTTTCTCACAACTTTCTAATTTTCTTTGACAACCCATGCATACTGCCCAGACTTGCACTCCACGATCAGCCTTATGTATGATATTCGTAGTTGATGTTTCGGTAGTTCTACCCATTGACATTTTTTTCTGAAAGATCATACTGAAATGTAATTTCTAGAAGAAATCAAACCGCTTTTAGACATTCGTACTCCATCTTCTGCTTCTTTCTTCATTTCCTCAATCTTTGATCTTTCAAAATCGAGCTCCTCTCGAAGCAAAGTCAGCCTCTTCTCTAATCTTTTTATCTCACTCCGTTCCTCTTTTAATCTAACAAAAGAAGAATAATTAGGATTAAAGATTATTCAACGCTATTTTCTCTCGATTCTCGGAGAGAAAATATTGCTATTTAGTAATAAAATACTAAAAAAAAAAAAAATATTTAATTATTGATCGTTAAGCTTAGAATCAAAATGAAATTTAGAGATGGTAATATTGCATAAGATTTAAATATGAAATAATGATAATCAAGAAACATGATTCATCGTCTTCTTTTTTATGTAGATTTTAAAATATGAATAATGTGCTCAAAGAGATTTCGTTATTAATGAAAAATTGTTAATGAGGTTTTTAAATTGTGTTCCTATTCAAAGATTTAATAATATTGTTTTAATATGAAAATAAATCAATCAATTATCAATTAAATTCAATATATTTAATGATTCTCAGATTATTTCATGCAAAATTAATCATTTCTTAAGCTCGAATTAATTTCACTTATTCACTTATTCATAACTATGAATTTTATATATTTATAATAGATATAAAAAAAATTAATTTAAGACATAATATGCAAAAATATGTAAAATATCAAAAATAAAATATTTATTACGATAGTAGAGGACGAATTAAATATTTATTTAACTTTCGCTTCTTTAATTATAATGCATAAACATTCATAATCATAATTTAATAAATAAACTTTAATCGATATTTTTTTATCGATATTAATTTTTACATTTGTTTTGATCTTTAGACTCAATCTTCATTTTACAATTATATTAATATCCTATATAATAAAATTAATGATAAAAATGTTTCTGAAGAATAGAGAAAATTTATAGTTAATGATATAATTTTTAGTTAAAAAATTTATAGTTAATGCAAATAAAAACGAAGCAGAAGAGAACGAAGTCTTGTGTTTTTCGATTTTTTTCTTTCTTTCTTTTTTCTTTTTTTTTTTTTTTTTTTTTTTTCAATTGATTCGTATATTCAGATGCAAACCAGAAGAATATTGATTAAGATTTGTCCATTGTCCGCGTATTAATATACTCACTGAGCCGTGAGGGCTTTGTTCTCGGTGATAAGATTTTGATTACGCGTCTGCATCACAATATTGCTATCCTCGAGGAATTTCATTTTCGTTTGTATCTTCTCCATCACGGTCGCATCCCCATGTTTTGTTGTCTCCTGCTTATAGATCGGTGCAGTCCTTCCTACTTGTAATCGAGTATCTCCATAAGATGGTTCAATTCTTCCTAACAAAATAAATGAAAATTTTTAATATTTTATATATTTAAAAAATTTTTAAATAGAATCGTATATAATACAACTATAAAATGTTAGAAGAAATTATATCTTTTTCTTGAGGTTATGTTACTTATTAATTTATCAATTATTCATCATCATTAAATTAATTATTTTTCGCATAATTATAATATAATATAATATAGATAATATCAATAATTATAATATAGATATCATTATATATTATAATTTTATTATAGATAATTTGTTGTCAAAAGCATTGTATCTGAAAAAATATTTCAAAAATTATACTATGTTCTAAAAATTGTTCTTCATAACAATAACTTCATAAGAATCTATTTTTGAACTTCGATAATCAAATTATTCGAAACATCATCATTAATATATACGATTAGAAAAAAATTTTTAAATAATATTGTTAAACATTACAAAAGATATGTATAATTTAATAGAAATTTATGTTTGTATAATTTTTTGAGGTTAATGTTTAAACTCCAAACGTTAATGAATTCTATAATATATATTATCATTAGTGAGATTCGTTTGTAATAAAAATTTTCAATTAAGAATTTTGTTAAAAATATATCTATAACTTGATAAAAACTTACGTTTGTACCTTTTGAGGTACAATAGATTTCAAAAATTAATCGACTCTGTACATCACGATGAATAACTTTTTTATAATAAAATTTTCAATTAAAGTTATCATAAATCAAAAAAAAATTTTTATTAATCACGTCAAAAGCAACATGTGAAAAAATATTTTAAATACTATGATACATCACATAAATAATCGAAAACAGGAATATAAGCAACACATACAGTAGTTGATATGTTTAAAGCGTCAAATGGATCATACGTGCTCACACATTTTTAGTGTTTTTATATCTTCACCCACAAAGGGAGGCGCTCGCATCGTAAATTTTTTTTTGAGAAAACTTTATTAACTATTTTACCTGATGTCGGAGTTTCTTTGAATCCTTCGTGATTTCCTTGAAAGTCTAAATCTCTCCATCCTGTGGTACAATAACCTGAGATTACAAATTGCAAAAATGAAAAAAATAATTAATTCAAGTGTAATATATTTTTCATATTAATAATAATTTTATTATTTTGAATGTAACAGAATTAAGCGAGCAAATTGAAGGTGAGCATAATAATCATAATCATTAATCGAGTAATCATCATAGAGTAATCTGGTAATCTTGTAATTTATTTTGTATTTATTAATAATCCATTGATCAATTAATTTGTAATTATTTGAATACTTGATATGTATATTTATTATACATATGATATAATAAAAATAAAATACAGAGAAAACAAAATCTGATGAAGTTTTTCAAATAATATTTAATTGAAATAATTAACAATAAATTTTCTAGAAGATTGAAAAATTACTTTATCAAATTTTTAAATTTTGGAAATAATGATATTTAAACTATTTTATACATTGATATACAATTTATTTATGTATTTTAAATATTCTTGATTAATAAAAAGAATTTTATATGATAAAAAGAATTTTATATATCATTTTATGTGATAAAAAGAATTTTATATATCATGTTGTTGTTATTTTTAATTATTCTACATAATATATTCTATAATAATAAATATACCAAAAGTATATAAAGATTATTAAATAAATTGTTTGAAATGAAGATTGTATTAAAAGTTATAGACTGTATTTTATTAAAGTAAATAAAATTTATTTTATTAAAGTAAATCCTTTATTCTAAATATATTTCAAAAATATATAAATAATAAATATGTATTATTTTTAAAAAAAATGTACATATTTCGAAAAATATATGTACATTTATTACAAATCATATTACAAATAAGTTATTGACTCAATCAATCAAAAGTATAATTATCTATGATTAATGATTATTAAATTAATTAGGACTTTTAATTACAGATTTTTATACAGCTAAAAAAGTTGAAATATTTAATTAATATATATAAAATATATCGTATATATATTCAAAATATATTTACAAATATTCTTTCAATATTATAATATTTCATATTATATCATAACTAATAATTTTATTCGAAATATAATTAAATTTGTTCATAATATTATACAAATAAAATTAATATTTTAAAATAAAATTTTAAAATAAAAATAACACATGAAAAATATATTTGTATAAAAATTCGCAATTTCATTATAATCATAGAATCCAAATCTACTTGAGAAATTTTCGAGACTATTTTTTACTATCAATGGGTAACAAGATTGAAAATTCCAGAAAAATCCATTTATAAAGAATACTCTCAAAAATTTTACTGTTAACTCTTTCGAGGATTTTAAATTTATTACAATTTTTTCTAACAAAATAATAATTCCATTTTGAAAATTCAGATTCAATTTTAACCTATTTATATGTATTTCGTGCGATTGTAATTATATCAAATCTGCCAAAACCATTATAAAATTCATCTCGAAAGAGTTAAATTATTAATCAAAGATTTTTTTTTCATTCAAACCTTGAAACATAATTGATGCTTACGTAATGAATTGGCTGCCTCGGACACGAAGTCACGATACGTAGCATTTCTATAATTGTCAGATCGCGGTGTATATTGCGGAGGTAAATTGTAACGATTACTGTATTGGCCATCGAAGTAACTTCTCTCCTTCGATGGATTTGATTGCTGATAATGTACGCAAGACATGTTGAGAGATTCTCGACGATTGTACTATTGTCGATAAATAAAGGGGTGCTAGAGGGTGTTTGAAATTGGATCAGCAGGTCCACTGCGACCTGGATCACAAGAAATGATGATTTCTTTTTTCCTTTTTTGTTTTTACATAATATCGTGAAAGGTATTTTTTAAAAAGTAGAATGAAAAGAAATGTTTCATGAACGAAAGACAACGATCCTGATACTCTGAAATTTTCCCTGATTGCCTCGAGTAATCGTTACTTGCTCGTTATTTGTTTGATGTTATAACAGTGAGGAGTTAGTTTGTGCACGATATGAGAATTATTTTATGTAAATACAGTTAATCAGCAAAAATATTCGAAATTTATATTTTTGTTAATTATGCAAGAGACAAATTCAAATTTTGTTTTTTTTTTTTTTGCTTATTAATATATTGAACTTTATTATGCAAATATGCGAAATTTATTTAATTGATTTGAAATGATAAAATAATATTAAAATGAGATTATATTTTTATAAAAATATTTAAATAAATTATTATAATATAAATTATTAATAATTAATTCATATAAATAATTATTATATTTATTAAATATAAATTATTATTATAATTTATTTTCAAAATAATTGAAAATAATATAAATAATTTAAAATACCAATATTTTGAAAAAAAAAATAAATATTGGTTTTGATTTCTTCTTAGTTCTATAACACATCGGTTTTAATCTTTTCATGTTTGTGAAGTGCAATGTTTGCGCTATTACGCAGTAGATGATGCGTGAGATTCTATATCCTCGTTCGAATAAAAATTTTAAAGAAAAGATAAATTTTCCTTTTTATTCAAATACTTTGTGAGACACTATATTTTATCGAATATTTGTTGATAACTTTATGTAACTTTTTTATGATATAAGCAAGATGAAAGCGGATGAAAATTTATAAAAAGTGTATCTTCTTCGAAAAGACTTGTCAGTTATAATAACATCAAAGGTATTACGTCTTGTTTTACTTTGAGTTGATGTTACCTGAAAACGTGAGATTCTTGAAAATTTTTCGTTTTTTTTTTTTTTTTCTCTTATTTAAAATTAATCTTCTATATCAATTTATTAATGTCCTCGAAATTTTAGTTAAATTGCGTATGAAGTGTCCAATTTCGCGAATTCGTGGAACCATTTATAATTTATAATATGTAACTAAATATGAAATAATAATATTGAATTTAAAGCTTGAAATTATGCAAGTTGAATATTTATATATAACTATATATATAAAATTTAATATTTGTGTTATAATATTATTAATATAAATTGTTTTATCAATTGGTTTTCATAAATATAAAAAAAAAAATCAGTAACAATTAATTAAATATTTTAATTATGATAAGATATATTTGTTGAATCAAATTTTTATTATTCTTACAAGAAAAGATTCTCTTCCTCTTTTGGAAATTCAAAAAATTAATGAAAATTCAATAATAAAAGTTAGTAATATAAGAAAGCTGTATTTAAAAACAAAAAATATTTATTTTGAATTGAAAAACAAATTTAAATAAAATTATTAATTTTTTTGTTATAAACAATTTTACCACAGAATAATGAAAATGAAAAGAAACAATTTTTATCTGAAAACTTTTTTCGTATTTCTTATAGTATTCAAGTAAACTCGAAAAATAATCAAATTTTTAGGGGTTGATTTCATCCGCTTAAAGTGATTTTGGATAGAAAAAAAAAATTGTGTAATTCATGTCTACATATGCATTATGTATTCTTAAGATTTCATAATTTTTTGAATTTTCAGATTGAGAATTTTTTCTTGTTAATAAAATTGTAAAATTGTATTCTATTTTTTTAAAAATCTTATGAATAATTTAATTGTTTTATCTGCAACAACGAAATTGTAAAGCTCTCTCTAATTTTGATTTTAATCTTTTACTGACGTATAACATAATCTTTTACTTATAATGTATTTTATATCAAATATAAATAATTTGTTGATGTTATTTTACAATATGAGGATTAAAAAAACAGATGATTTAAAAAAAGAAAGAAAATTTAATATTAATAATGATATAAAAATAAATATAAAAATTGCATATTTGAAAAACATTAATAATTATTTAACAATAAATCTAAAATTTAAATCTTTATAACTCAATTTTTATCTATTTAAAAGTGTAAAATTAAAAATAGTAGTAAAAAATAGTAATAAAAAATTTCACAATTTCGAAAATAAATCTTGTATAAAATAATACTTTATTAAGTCAGCAAACATGATAAATTTTTAAATCAAACCAACAATGCCCATGAATGAATCTTGAGTTCTTTAACCTCAATTATCGAATGAACTTATCAATTATTCTTATGAAAAATCGTTTGACATGAAATTCATTCATTCCAAATTCCAATAAAATCAAAAATAGAGACTTCTAAAATAAGAAATACGAACTGTAAATTGCTGTTTGTTTATAGAAGAATGATACAATAAATAACAATCAACTTAAAAATTTATAATAAACAGATTTATAATAAAAAGACTTTAAAGTAAAATAATATTATAATTTAAAATATGAAAAATGATGAAAAATGAGCGCACTTGTTGACGAAGAATAAAAATCTTGGAATTTTCTATTCTACAAAAAGAACTAATAAAATTCTTTTAATAATAAAAAACTTTCGAAAAAATATAAATCAAGAATTTCTTTTTAACTTGTTTACAAAAAGAATTGTTACAAAAAGAAGAGAAAATTTTTATTTTTCTTTCAAAGAAAATTTCTTTATTTATTTCTTGCTAAATATTTTGCTTTTGTCTGTCTTTTTTTTTTAAAAAAAGTTTGCAACTTGTCGTACATTGCAAGATATCGTTCAAAGTGAAAAGCATCTGGATTAAAATTAATTATGTTTCGCGGAATCGTCGTTGCAAATCGTTTCGAGCGAGTAAATAAGAGACGATGAAAAGGATCCCCCTCTTTATCATGGCGCCACCATGCCGTTGAATTTTATAACCGGTGCAAGTATAGGCCGTAAAAGGAAATGGAGAAACGCGAAGAAATTTTATTTCGCACAGTGGCGGCCTTCCTTCCGCGTGATTTGTCCGTTTGTGCGTGGGCCTGCCCTCGTAAAGAATTTACGAGTTCGAGACGTGGGCGAAATTACGTAAAATGAGTGGAAGAGAAAGAGAGAAAAAAAAAGAACAGAAGAGAGAGGGGGAGAGTGTTTGAAGACAAATTAGCAGGTAAATTGGAAATAAATTTAATTGTATCGATCATGAACTAGGTAATATTCCTCAACCACGAGTTATTTCCTAAATATCTAAACACGGTAATTGGACATTTAGAGCAATCAAAGATGAGAGATAACATTGTTTGCGTTAAGATTGATTGTAGTTATTATTTGGTCAAGAACAGATATTAGATGGTTAATTTGATTTGAAATTTTTTGCGGTTATGGAAATATATTATTGACTTATAGAGTAAATACAGTGAAAGAGAAAGATTTATGAGTTTTGTAATTATCGAAGAGAGAAACTTTTGTAATTATTTAAAAGAAATATTAATTTTTAGAAAAAAAATAGAGAAAACTTTTGATTAAAAGAGATCAAAGAGATATTGTTTCTTAGAAAAATTAATAAATTTAAAAAATTAATAAATGAAAGAAAAAGATTTGGTTTAAAAAATTCAGAGATTTTGCAATTATCGATTCGATATAATAATGACTTTAATTTAATAATAAATGATAATAATTTTTTTTCAAGTAAGTAAATAAATACAATTATATTCTTTTTTGATTTTATTTTAATCAGAAAGATATCACAAATATATCGATAAAAATTGAATCGGGAACAATTGGAACTTGAACTTGAATTGGATTATATTTTTACAATTTCATACAGCTTCTTAAAGTTAGAAGTTAGATATGAAAATAAAAAACTGAAGATAAATTTTTTTACTTACGTCATAAATTGATTTCACACTTATTTCTGCAATGAATTGTAAAAAAAAAAAAAATAAATAAATTATTAAATTTTCTGAAAATAAGGAGTTCAAAAATATATTAATATTGCATTCTTATATCATGGACGAATTTATTCGATAATATGTACAAATTCTTTAATGATGAAAATATAAATATATGGTAACATATTCCTTTTTTAAATAAAATATACAATAAATAAAGAATAAAACGAGTTTTAAAAAACAATTTCATCTATTACTCTTTAAACATAACTTATATAAAGTACAATTTAATTTGAACACACGATACACAGTACGAAAGTTGAAATGGTCGATTAAATTCTCTATTCAATTTCATCGATGATCGAATCTTTGTACGAGAAAATCCGCTTTATCGTTGAACTTTCAATTTCATTTAATAGAGTCCATAGATATACTATAAAGATATTCAGTATCATTTAGAGATACAAAGATGAATATGCTGTACAATTGCAATGTTTCGCAGGGATGCGCATCGATCGAGAAAAATATTGGGCATTGATTTATGGTTCTCGTAGATCGCTCACAAAATTGCACTCGCGAGGGCAGGGGCGTTTTCGCGATGATCACGAGCGAATGGAATACATGAATATATTACACATTTATGATTACACGTATGTGTCTGTTTATATAAGGTGATCTGATAACTTTGACCATCTAATTTTTATCGTTATCTGTAGATAAAATGATAAAATTGAAAATTTCGAAATTGAAATTTTTATTATTTTTCTTTTTGCGATATTTTCGTTAAAAAAAATAATTCTACAAAATACTTAGGATTTTTTGATAGGGAATAGGCATTCTATATGATAAATGATTATCAGTGATCAACGTATTTCAATAAATGTTGAAAAATAATAAAATTCTATATAAAAAATTTTTATTAAGAAAGATAGAACAATGGCCAAATTGCTTCCCAATTTATCCGTTTCAGAGGCACTAAGGATTTTTTAAGAATTGACATAAATTGTTTATTTAACATTTATTTATTTTATTATAATTACATTATCATATTTTATCATATTTTAAATGTATCCAGGTTATTCTTTCACGTATGAAAAAATTATTATATACATATTATAGTCTTATAGATACAATTTTTGTAAAGAAATATAAGAGATATTCAAGGTAACAGAAGTTATTGAACCACCTTATATTTGTGTTTGTATATGTATATGCTTACATACATACGTACAGTATATAGACACATATGTGTATATGATGTACACATGAAGCTGATGTTCGCTATGTATATATGTACATATATGTATATTTTGAGCGTATCATTTTCCACATTAATCGATTCGCCAGGCTAATGTTCCCTCCATCCTCCTACAAGTTTGTAAATGTTTAACAGCTTCATCAAAGTAAAATTTATTAGTAAATCGATTTGGTTTTATAAGTTCTTTACTTTTTCGTATATCACTGTTAATAAACTATTTATATTTGCTATTTCAGTTTTTATTTATAATTTTATAACAATCTTTGATTTTAACCTTTTCACGATATCGCATATAATCAATATAATATTTCAATTAATTATTAAATGAATATATTTTCTTTCGGTAAAACAGGTCTCAAACTTTAATACATTATATTTTTACAAAAACATCAATTCTATTATAAATAATTGACAAAAAAAATTTGATTCTGAAAGAATTAATTAGAGGATGAAAAAAACATATACCGCGATCAAATTCGCTTGAAATACTGATCATGTAATGTGAGCATAAAAAACTTATTTTATTCATATTTTTCTCTTGAATTATGATTTTAATATTAATTATGTACGTAGAATGTTGGTGTTATTCAATAGTTGCTTATACGTACGGAACGATAAGAAGTCGCGAATAACATTCGGGCAATATCGTGAAACTTCGGTCAACATTCGGATAGCCGAAAGCAATATTCGGCTAGTTTCGGGCAATATCGAGAAGCTTTAGATAAAAAGCAATGTAACAGGATCAGAGCCTAATTTTTAAACATTCTCTCGGCTAGTTTTGTTATTAATTTTATCTTCAGCATCTCTTTTGGTTAACCGCAAGCTTCTTTATCTGCAAAATGGCAGGCTAAACAGCACTGATATTAAGATATAGTTTGTACTGTAACAGAGAGTTCCAATCTCTTTTCGTAATTTTTCGCATACCTGAGACAGAAAAAAGAATGGATAAAAAAATCGAAAAGAAAATTTCAGAAATCCACGTCTATAAGATAGACGGAGCATTGATAATTTTAGTGACGTAACAATACTCGTAGTCTCTTTGTCGAAGCTCAAAAGGAGCAATTTTTCGATGAAAGAATTCTATGCAGATTTAAGATGTATCTCACTCAAGAAAACGCGATCAGGTTTCTTTTTCATCGTTCATTTTTTACACCAGTGACACCATAACTCGTTTCCTAGAATGTAACATGGCGATATGACCGCTTCTTCTCGAAGATTGAGCCGTTAAAGATGTCGTCACTGTCGTCCTTGTGCTACTGTTTGGAGCACCAGTGCCGAAACAATGATGTGGGTTCGTCGCACACCATCCAGAAACCCATGATATCACTTGTGTATTTCTGTTGAATTAGAATCATTTTGTTTGATTTAAACAGGTTTGTGTTTTTTTTTATATTAATTATATAAAAGATAAAATAATATTAAAACTTTTTGTTCTTTTACAATTGAATTATTAATCTTTCCAAAATAAAATGTTTGATTTAAATTTGTGAGATTTTAAAAGTCTTAAAGTCTCAGATTTCTTTTCTTTTTTTTATTTGTTTTTTTTCAAAATCTTAACATTATTAAATTTCTTGAAATTTATAGTTAGCCAATAATAAAACTAATTACTTTTTTGATTTGCAAATAATTCAAAAATTTTAAATATAACAGAGCATCAATTATCCAAATTTCGATTATTATTAAAATATTGCACTATCACTATAATAATAATATAAAAAATTTATATCATATAATATATATAATAAATACTTTTTTAACATTAACTAATATTATATATATTTGTTTTTTTTATTTTTTTAATATATATTGTTATTTGAAAGTATTTCTTTCTAAAAATAAATTAATATTTTGTATAATGTATACTATATTTTAAATTATAGTAATAATTATTTTTGTATTCAAGTAAGTAATTAATTAATTTTCCATATTTATAAACTGGATAAATATACATGAACTATTTCGGTCTTAATTGATTCTTATAACCGATATTATGCTTTATTTTTTAAAATCACATCAATTAAAAACAAAAATTCCAAGTTTAAATAGAAATAAATTCATATCGTCATATAAATTCTCGTAAATTTTTTTATTTCAACTAAAATCAACTAAACAAATTATTGTTTAGTTAATTTTCAAAAGTTTCAAATCAGAAAAATCAGCAAAAGTGTTTCGAGAATTTAAAATTTTTTGATTTTTTCGAGAAATCGATTGACCTATTCTTAGTTTAAATTCTTTGATATATTCAAATCTCGAAGAGGTACTTTAGCTTAAAGCACCAAGCTTTACTTTCGTATCTTGGAACCTTACCTTACAATTTTACAAAACGACGTGCTGAAGAGACAATATATTATTGGATTAGCAGCTGAATTCAAAGTCGTTAAACTTTGAATAAAAGTGGCAACGGCGACGACAGTTTGGGTCTTTGGCAGATATCCGAAAACTTGAAGGAGATCGAACACTATATAAGGGCTCCAACAAAGAATGAATACTGAAACGAGAAAAAATCGTTTTTGATTAGATAAGACTTTATATTTCGAAATATTCTTAGTCTGACATTATCTTTTTATTATTTCCATTATTCAAATATTTCAAATATAATTATTTCAAAAGTTCTCTTAGCAATTTTTACATATTCGAATAGCACTTAAATTCTATGTTAAAACATAGTTCATCATAATAAATACATAATTTTTTTTTTTTACAATAAAATATTCAAATTGTAATTATTATATATATTATTTTTGATATTATATACTGAGAATATTTAATTAATAGAAAGGATTTACAGATAATTTATTTTTTTTTTAGAATAAAATATTAAGTTGTAATATTACATATATATATATTATTTTTTTTAGAATAAAATATTCAAGTTGTAATTACATATATATATTATTTTTAATATTATATACTATTATATTTAACATATAACAAATATCATTTGAGTTAAGAATATTTAATTAATAGAAAAGATTTACATATTTGTGAAAATATATTCCATTGCATATACAAAAATTAATAAAACTATCATTGATATTTAACAATATTAATTTCGAAAATCAAATAAAATTATTAAAAAGTACTATAGTAGTATAAAAAGTAGTATAGTAATAGTAAAAGTAATAAAGTAGTATAGTTCATCATAATAAATACATAATTTTTTTTTTTTACAATAAAATATTCAAGTTGTAATTATTATATATATATATTATTTTTGATATTATGTATTGAGAATATTTAATTAATAGAAAGAATTTACAGATAATTTATTTTTTTTTTTAGAATAAAATATTCAAATTGTAATTATTATATATATATATATATATATATTATTTTTGATATTATATACTATTATATTTAACATATCATTTGAATTAAGAATATTTAATTAATAGAAAAGATTTACATATTTATGAAAATATATTCCATTGCATATGCAAAAATTTATAAAACTATCGTTGATATTTACAATATTAATTTCGAAAATCAAATAACAAAATTATTGAAAAATTCAAGATAATTGAAAATCTCATTTCAAAATTCTTCGAAATCGATGCGAATACATATTAATTTTAAATGAATAAGTGTTGTGAAAAAGTGTGAATGTTAAAAAGAAATGTTAAAAAGATGGAAATCTATCACGGTTGAATGGAGAGTAAAAGTTGCAAAATTAATTTCCTCGCAAAACATCACGCCCGCCATCTTCTTCTCTTATTTTTTTTTTTTTTCATTTTCCTCAACGACATGAATATTCATGCTTGGTAACCAAGTAAAATAAATTATCCAGCTACTACTATCTTTGACGTCGAAATAAATAAGAATAATCTCTTCTCTAACAAAGAATTACTAAAGAAAAAAAAAAAAAGGAAAAAAAAAGAAAAAAACTAGTTTTATATAATATTTATGTAAAATTCTATCTAGTCAAATTTTGCATTTTTACATCAAGGAATGCAATGAATATTTCCCAAGAGAAATTGACAAACTTAAATCGCATTGTCTTGTTCTCGAATAAACGTAAATAAATAATAAAATACGATTAAGCAAAATACTAGAAAATCGGATAAAAGCTTATCTTAATTCCTTTAACTCGAGAAGTTATGAGAGTTAATGAGAAAATAATTGAAAACATAGTTAAGAATAATGAGACGGATTTGAGAATCTCTGTCCAGGATTTTCGTTCTGTTGCAGAGAATACGAGAAATTTTAATCGGAGATGAATTATTAGAGGATCGAATATTTTAAGAGAAATTAATTTTTAAAATGATTTTTCTTTATTTTTCGTATTAAAATTGTTGGATCGAATAAAAGTGGGGAAAGATTTGAGAAGGTATGAAAATTAAAATGAAAATTAAAATAAAATTTTTATTATATATGTGTTAGTACGAGGTATTATTGCCTCTGGATTTATATCCAAATCTGAATTTCATTATTTCATATTTGATATAAAATAGTCTGAAGATTTAAAAATTTGTGTTAATATTATTATTATTATTAATATTACTATGTAACTTCAAAATCTGAAGTTTGACAAATAAAATATTGAATTAAATATATGTCTGCAAATGTTTATTTTTTCTCCTAAAGAACAGTTTTAATCAAGAGTTTTAATTAAAAACATCGCGTGATTCTATTCTTTTCTATTCGAAAAATTTCAAACGAATTTTATCTTTAAATTTGCGTTGAAAAAATTCAGAAATCAAAAGAGTTATATAACATAAAAGATAAACATTCTGATTTTCGAGAGTTTCGTATTTACGCATTTTCATCACAAAATTTTGACGCATCTTTGAAAGGATAAACAAAAACAAAGAAACACTTCGTGGTTATATGCGGATGTTTACGTATTTATGCAAAGTTTGAACAAAATTTGACAAGAACAGATATGATATTCAAAATATACGAAATATTATATCCAAGTATACTTTGAATTATAATATTTGAGAAATAAAGCAAATCTTTTAAATCTTCATTTCTTTACTCTCTTGTTCACTTACGAAAATTTCGAGAATAGATTCTACGGTAAACCAGAAAACTAAATTAAATTCGATTTTTAATGATTCCTTGTCTTAAATACACAACACCGACGAAATTGCATAAAAGCTTTGAACATTTCGCATGAACGAACGCATTGTTCGATGCCTCTTGCTTATTCTAATCATGAACGAATCCCTTTATCGTTATTTCGGTAGAAATATTGATTCCACTTATCGACCTCGATTTTCGTCATGCACATTGCTTGATCTTGACATCTTTCTCTAATCTAATTAACGATGAGGACGATTGGATAATGCGAGGATAATGCGATACTAGCGCCACACTGACTATTAACTATAACCTATTATAACCTATTATATATGTGTTTATAGTTTTTCTTCAATTATTCTCTAACTTATTATTTATATTTTTTATCTTATATGCTTAATTATTTTTCTATTCAAATATAACAGAGATAGATATTTTATTAATTTTTGAAATTTTCCATAATTCGTCATAATGTTAAAAGCTTAATTATGAATTTGAGAGTTTGCTTTGGACAGTTATTTTTTATTAACAATATCTCATTCAAAATGAAAATTATCAAAGCAATTTCAAACTCTCGAAAAAGCTTATTTTAAAAATATATAAAATTGTTTTTTCACGTTATTGACGAGAAAATTATGTTTAAAATTAGCTAATCGTCATCTCAGTGTTAAAAATAGTAAACAAGTTTCATATCATTTCTTCGCATTCTTTTTTTTATAAATTGCTAGTCTATGGTTGTTTCACACGAGAAATGATTTTCTCGGTACATCCACTTTTCTCGAATTCGAAATTATACCGAAAAGAATTGCATGGATGAAGCTCAAATCTCATTTGATCGGTTCCATTGGGAACGATTTTCCTTGACTAGAAAAAAAAAAAAAAAAAAGAATTTTCAACCGAGACATCGTCGAGAAACGAATCTGATTAGAGCAAGGTAATTCTTGTTACATATAAACTCGTTCCCTCGAGAAATGTAAAGAAGAGGTCGGTTATTTTGAACGAGGCAAAGGATGTGAAACTTTTGAACTCGGCCATCTTAGTAATTTCAACTTAATCACGATAAAAATAATTTCGATCTTTGATATTGTACACGTTTGACGTCAATTCCATTGGGTTCATAAAAAAAAAAAAAAAAAAAAAATTGTGTTATAATTTTTCTTTCGTTCTTTTCTGTCTGGTTGTTTTAGAAGATTGGTATTGTCCTCTATGGGCTTGAATTTCTACAGCTCTGTACTTAACGAAATGAAAGAACAGTGGTTACGAGTACAAAGGAAGATTTCATTTTCTAAAGAATGAAATTTTCTTGGATTTTATAGGATGTAATTTTTTCAAGATTTTATTTATACTAGTGTTTATAAATAATATAATTAGGGGAGGGGAGAGATGCATAAAGTTTCTTCTTAAATTTATAAAATATTATAAAAATTTATCAATATCTATATTTCCATATTTAAATTAACAAACTTTATTTGTTATCCAAATCATGTATTATGAAATGAACATTAAATTAAATTAAATTAAAAAACTAAATATTAACAGATAAAAACAATAATTTTAATAATTTATATACAATCTGATATTATATTTATTATATTATTATTATTTCAATGCATTAAGATATATTTGCAATATGAAGAATTTATTCGTTACACATTTTAATTTTATTATGACGTTATTTCAATGGTGGAAATGACGCAAACGAAACAAAAAAAAGTATGATATTTTTCATTAGCAATTTTTCGCAATTATTATCAAAAGATGTTTCAAGCTTCGTGTAGAATTATTTTTTGCAAAAAATTCAATTCACATTAAATCATTTTTATCAATTTTGTAATATAAAAAAATTCGTAGGTATGTGCTAACATCTGGTGGGTAAACTCTGAATTATGATTGTTTGATCTTTCCTCTAATTATCTTATGTGAACACAATGTATTTATTGAACGATTAACAATGCAATATTATTATTAATATGAAATCATGTTTGATGCTTTATTATGAATTTAATAATAATGTTAAATATTATTTAGAATTGAGTTATAATTATTTAAATTAAAAGTTTATATATTATAAAAATATATATCTTGTACAAAATTAGAAAAATATTTGTACAATAATTTATAAACTAATAGATGGACATTTTTTTACAAATTTTACAATTTTAAATTAAAATAAAATTGTAATCAGATAAATCAATAAAAAATTTTCTAAAAATATATAATAAAAAGTAAATGATAAATATTAGTAGACCTCATTGTTAATTTGATATGAATCTGAATTTCAATTAAAATTAAAAGATGATAAATGTATCAAAGGCAAAGTAAAGTACTTTCTATGAAATTAAATTAAATTATAACAAAGTAGTATTAGTACTACTTATTTATATTATTGATAAAATTAAAACGTTAATCATTTTCTTATTAAAAAGTAAAATCAAATAAAACAAAGAAGATAAATTAAAAATTTAATTTATTTCTAGATATAATAACAATATATTGTATAAAAAAAGAGATGAAAAGAAAATATTAATTGGAAAATATTTCACTAATTTTCTTATTAGAGAAATATCATTTCGAGAGAATAAAACCCTAAAGTTTTATTATTAAATTATAAAATATTCAAATTTTAGTAACCTATTGTTTAATACCTATTGTAATTATCTTCTCATAAAAGATATTTCTACTATTTCAAATTATATAAAATTATACAACAACAAAAAGATTATATAAAATAATTAGAAAAATTGATAAAAATTTGAGGTTTGATTTCATACCAACTCGAGCAACAATTTTCCCAATCGAAAAATAATTTTGCTCCACGTACATAATAAATTTTCATGAAAATCGGATATTTTTCATAAAAATACCTACGAATTTTTGCGAATGACTGTATTCAACAGTATCCAGATAATCGTCGCAGGATAAGAATCATCCAGAAAGATAAATGTATTCCAAGAATTATCAACTTCTTCTCTTCTCTTGGCTTCGATCTCATTCGACTTCATTGCCTCTCAACTATTAACGAGGACATTTCTTACGAGCAAAAGATAGAGATAGAAGTTGGTGGAAACAAAAAGATAATTCACGAGATAATCCTACGACAATATCTCGAGATCATTGAAATCACTGGAATGGCCATCGCAAAACCTGGATTTCAGATTCCAGAAGAATAATCCCCGCGCGACGATTAAGCGGGCAGAGAGCGCGACACTTAACCGGCCACCAATCGAATTCACCAATTTCCCAGAGAAGTTCGAGGGGAGATCGGCCATCCCCTCCAAACCTATCCTTTTCACACGCCGCAAATGTATAATCGCGTATAAGGAGGAGGAGGAGGGCGAGGAGGGCAAGGAAATGGAAAAGGCATCTTTACGATCCTTCCCCCCCCCTTCGTTCTCCTGATAAACGTGGATTCAATTGGACAAGTTCGCTCGTTCGTGAACTTGGATCGTCCCGCGTTCATTAAATTTTTATGCCGTACAGCAATGGGATTCCCCCCTTCTCCCCTCCTCTTCCTCAAAAAAATCGAGGGATTTTAAATTAAGTTATCGTTGTATCATCTCTCACGATCATAAAAATTTTGCCAAGTTTACGACATCGGTTAACTTTGATTTTTATCGGATTTTTATCGTATCCCGTGGAACTGGTTCAATCGTATTCTAAAGCAGAATTAGATGTAGAAGTTTCGTCGCGGTCGAGAGTTTTACGATTATTGTTCTTCGCCAGACATAAATCTATTCTTTCGAAACTTGTGTTAAATAAGTATGGTTATGCGTGGTTATGTACCTTGCCAAAAAATATTCGGTTAATTTGCTCAACGATTTGAGGAGAGATGGATCTTTTGAATTGGCAGGGATTCGCGTTGGAATAGCGAGAAACAAATAATAAATGAGTGGTAAGAAAGAATGAAAAAAAAAAATTGAATCGATAATAATTTTATAATTATGAAAATTCATATCTTTTTTACTATCTGAATTGAAGATCTTTCACTTTAATGTATTAATAATAACTTTAATGCAAAATACTTTTTTCCTTCGTTATATATATATTTATTTCAAATTATGTAAAACAAATTATTTAAACATCACAATTTTAGATTATATTTTAGAGTCGATTTTCTCTACAGGTGTTCTATAGAAGTATTATTATTCCGTTGACAAAGACGGTATGAAACGTCATTGCCACAGGAACATGATAACATCGATTGTCATTAATATTCAAAATATTGATTGAACGGAATCGCTTTCCGGACACGGTCGTGTTCCTCTTTGCTTCCGAGCAAATATCATATCACTTTGTAAATAAGCGAAGCGAAGCGTATATAATTATAGTAAAAGTAAGTATTATAAAAAATATGTAAACGAAGGAATATAATGAGAAACCGAGCCAAATATTTAAAATATCATATAATTTTGTATATTTTTGCGCTTAAATTTATTATATATATTATATTATATTTATTATATTATATTTATTAATCGTATTTATTTTTTGCCTTCCCCTTCAAAGATGTTTTACGAATAAAATAAAACGAAGAGCGCAATCGAATTAACTATATCTCTGTACGTATATTACATCATTCGATATATTTTATGCAATATTATATATATGTATATTTCCACGTGACACGTGACCTGCGCAAGACAGATGCGCAAAGTCACAGTGACAGGTCTATGGTTCTTACTCACCGAACACTATAACGAGGGTCATTTTGACCGTCTTAACTTTGGCTCTAGGGATAAGTCCTCGAGACGATACCCTCCTGGTGTCCCTAGTGGGTCCCTGGCGTAATGCCCCCCCTTGCGACCATATAGTGGCCACGATCACAGCATAACAGCCCCCTATTATCAGGGTAGGGGCTATAAAGAGGGTGAAGCTGACCAAGCTCATGTAGATCCTCCACTGCGTAGGCGAGCCCAGGTCTATCCAGCATTGTGTCTTCCCCTGGTGAACCGTCCTGTCGATTATCCTCGTGCCACGGCCGAAATTAACCCAACAATCGTTCGTTTAAATCGTATCACCTCGTACAATTTCACGTATTTGGGTATACAAGATTTTCAACACTTTGACATTTTGGAATAATGTTTTCGATCAAATTTGTTAGCAATTTGATCGAGGAGATATGTATTTTACATGTTTCATATTGCGAAAAGGATAATATTTTTAAATGGATTTTTTCAAAATCTAGGTTAGGTTAGAATTTTGTAAACATGATATATATATTTTTATGTACATTTTACGTAATTTTGTATAGGGAATATGAGGCAGTATAGCCAACGTCAAAGTGTTAAAATGATTTTATTGAAAGAAATTATTCTTTCTATGAAAGTTTGAAATATTTTAAAAGCTTAAAATTAAATGAAATATTTTATTCGAAAAAAAGTATCTTTTTTCTATATACATCTTATAAAGATCTGATTTAATAATAATTTTATTAAAAATTCAATTTCGTACGATTCTGTAGCAATTAATTTTCTATTTAAAATTAAACGATCGATTCTCTTAAAGAAGTTTTAAACAATTCTATTGAATAAAATCGTAATTAAAATTGATTTGGAATAATTTCAAACTATTTCACGTCGATTAATAGATGTTTAACATAATTTTATGAATTAATCTTTATAATTAAAATAATCATTTTTCTCGTAAAATAATCATATAGATACGCGTAAATAATTTCATTATTCGATCTTTTTTAATTTAAACGATTAAAATTTTCAATTTCGTGTAAAAATACGAATTGAATCGAATGATCATCAATTTTAAAAATTTCATCGTTTCGCTTAATTAAGATCGAAATCTTCAATTTTGAAAAAATTTGTCGAAAAATTCCACAGTTTCTCATTTAATTAAGCGATAAAAAATTTCTTTGATTCGAAAAAATTCTACGATATATTGTTGTTTGCTGTTTAATGTTGTTGTTTGTTAATGAAAATCTTTTGAAAATTTTCTTTTTAACAAATCGATCGATACCTCCACACGCTTCTCTTCGTAGAGGAAAATAATCGGCGCGCTAAACAATGCCGATAATCCCCAGGCACTTATCACCAAGGCTCTGGCTCTCCACCCTGTAATTAAAATTGGATTTCCATCGTTAAGTCGATTTCTCCACAATGGGGAAGCAATTCTGGGAGAAATTCGTTATGTCATCCTTATGATTATGGTATGAACGAAGAGAAGAGTTGAGTTTCATGAATTTCGAACTCGTCCAATTCATAACACGAACGCATTTCGAGAGTAAAATCCTTGAAAGTTAAGATAAAATTTCGAAAGATCGATCGACACGAAATTGAAGAATAATAGGGGAAGATTGAATAAATATTAGTTGAAATTTTAGCTTCAGGTATTTACTTTCGAAGAATGACAAATTTTCAATTCTACCTATATTATTGACAACGTGAAAATATCGATATCTTCGTTAGCAGATGTCGTTGTCGTCGAGTTTCTAGTAACTGATATATACATAAATATATCGACGATAACGACATCTACAACGAATATATCGATATTTTCAATCACGTTGTCTATAATATAGGTAGAATTAAAATTTCTCATTAATATTTTCAATAGATTATATATAGAATATCCCATGTAAAATATTCATTCGCTTCTAAGAAAAATTGTAAATAATGCAAATAAACACTTTTGAATTCTAACTTGATTCAATATCCATTATAGAATTTCGTCTTCGAATTGTCAATTATCTACGAGCCAAACTTTTTTTTTTATCATCACTCAAACGCGTTAATTTTTTGAAAACGAGTGATTAGATTTTTGCTGATTTTATGAATAAAGCACTCTATGAATATCGAAGCTGATATAAATAAATTATTACAGTGAAGTTATTGCATTAGCGACATAAATGATATTTAATGATCAGTAACGTCTGTATGTGCAGTTTTAAACATGTGTATGTTATAAAGAATATTTACATATATACAATGTATAAAAAAGATGTCTGCAAAAGATTGTGATATTTTTAAAAATTTTTTTAGTGATTTATAATTAATTATAGTACATACACACATCGTTATTCTTTATCTTTTGATGATTTTATAAAAATTGAGATTTTTTTCTTTAAATCAATTATGATATATTGATATATAAGTGTTTTAAATAAACTCTAATTATTTTTAATTCGTAATTAAGTTATATTGAGTTTGGCTGTAGGATTATAATAAAAAGAAATAAAAATAATAAAAATTCATATATGCGAAATACAGTAGTGATTATTAAAATTTGTAATTAAATTTCGTTCAAGTTTTCAAATTTTACTAAAAATCACGAAAAATATTTGAATTGAATATAATAATATAATAATTGAAAATTCTAATTTTTTTTGATCGGGGGATTATATAGTATAGTATATCGAAAATTTTTCATTAATATCTCAGAAATAATAAATACTCAAAGCTAAAATTTTGTACTTTTATGATCTATCCTTTCTCCAAAAAAAGTACGAATTAAATAAAAATTAAATAAAAATTATTTGTCGAGAATTATTTTTTATTAAGTAAACACTTAAATTAAGAGTGAAAGTTATTAACGTCTTGTGAAAAATATTTTCTAGATATTGAGAGTGAAAATTATAATAGAAAAGTAATAATTTAAAATAATAATTTAAAATAATAATTTAAAATAATAATTTTCGAATAGGGTTTTATTCTCAAATTTTATTTATATCCTTATCCGAATAATAAAATAAAAACAAAAACAAAAAAGAGAAAATATAATCAGAATATAATCAAAAGTTTCGATGGAATAAAGAAACTTCCATTTCATTATTTTAATAATGGAATAATGCTTTGATATTTTTATTTTGAAATATGGGATCTATAATCTATAATATATATCTGTAATGTGAAATATTATTCAAAGAAACAAAAATTTACATCAATGTTATTAAAATAGAAAAAATTGATTAATCAAGAAAACATAGAATTTTTAAATGTCTTTTTATTCTATCATGATTTTTCATCTTTTAGTTTGCTTCTTATACAATATGCATTAGGTACGGCTTGATGGAATAAAGAAAACATGAGATTGTAATGCTCGTTGATCTACTTTGAGAATGACATCTTGATCATTGGTAAATGTGTCTCGAATATTATTTAGTGACGGAAAAAGAAATGTGAAAAAATATGAAGGAAAATGATTCATTCGTTGGAGCATGTATTTTTCTTCTAGTTGATAGGAAAAATGTAAATATACAATTATTTTATTTAAATTTTGGGAAGTAAAATAAAAATAAGTATTTTTTTTTAATATTCCTTATTTTTAAGGAAATTTAATCTTGAGATGATTATTTATATTTAACAAAAAGAAAATCTTGAATAAATAAATATTAAATAAAGAAATTTTCATTTAGAAATCTTATAATTTTTTTTTTAAATATTTATTGGATAATTATAAAAATATATTTATTCTATTAAATATTATGATAATTTTTTTAAATATTCTCTGTTTTTAATTTTAAGGGATTAATTAAGGAGATGATTATTTAAATTTAACAATAAAAGTAGAAAGAATAGATATTAAATGGATTTTCATTCATAATAACTTTTTTGGAAATGTTTGTTGAACAATTACAAATATATATAATATTTATTTTATAAATATTAATAAATTTTAGGAAGTGTTTTATATATTATTAATAGAATAGTCTTTTTTAATATTCTTTTTAATATTCTTAAAGATGATATATATATTTGAGAAAAAGAAAAACAGCTTTTTAATACTCTCTATTTATAATTCTAGAAATGATTGTTTAATATTTTTATAGATTAATTATTTTTATTCTATTTAATGGAAACAAAAAAATAGAAATATGGATTTAAAAATGTTTGGTGAACAATTATAAATATTTATCTAATTTATAAATATCACAATTTCAATGAAAAATAATCTTCCTTAATATTCTCTATTTTTCTAAAGATGATTGTTCATATGATTTAACAATAAAAAAAGAATCTTAAAAAAATGAACAAATTTTTATTTAAATTAATCTTGTGATAACATTTTTGTAACTGTTCTGAATTTTCTATAATTGAATAATTAAACATTAGTGAATGATTAACATGATAAATATAAATATTTATTATTTAAATTTCACAAATTATTATTTATTTTATTGTTATATATATTTTTTTTATAAAACTAATGGTACATTTTTTAATCATATAGATTTTTGATTAAAAATTGAAATTGCAATAATCTCATTTATATAACAAAATTTGAGATTTGAATTTAATAACAATATCCATATATTTCAGATTCAGATAATGAAATGGAATAATATATTTTCTTAAATTAAATTATTTGTACAAAAGTTAAAAAAAATTATTAAGCAAGGAATCGGTAAACTCAAAATAGTTCTATACATGTATTATAAAGTTCGAAAAAGCAGAAAGTTATAATAAAATAACAAGTTGTATCTATTTTATATCCAATTAAAATTGAAAGTAAGTACCATAATCTGGATGAAATACTCATTAGGATTATATTAGTAATTATAAATTGGTGAGCAAGTTTTGATTAATATTTAAGTAAATGTTACACAAAAGTTCAGATGATCAATTATCCCATGTTTTTAATTAAATTATTTTTAAATCTTGTCCTAATTACTAAATAACTTTGATAACTAACAATTAGCATATGTTAAAAAAGGAAGAGGACAATAATGCTATATATTTTCGAGATATTTTAAGCAAACATTTTAATTATATTGTCCAACATTCAAAAATTGTTAAAAATCTCGATGTAAACCTATTATTCGTATAATTATATTTATATAAATTTAATTTAAGTATATAATATAAACATTTATTTAAATTTATTATTCAAATGAAATTTAAAATAAATTAAATTCATAATATGTAAGTAAATAATTAATTTATTCGATAAACATTTAATAAAGAATTAAATTAGAGTAACAAGAGTACTTACATCTGCCACTGAAATTCATAGGTCTCGTAATGGCGTCGTATCTGTCGATTGACAAAGCGACGAGCACATATGTCGAGCTATACGTAACGACAGCTTGCATGAACCTTATCAGCTTGCAAGCAACGTTACCCGCATGCCAAGACACCGTCGTTTTCCAAATTATATCTGTTAGCACGGATATCAAGCCCACCAATAAATCTGCAATGAGATATTCAACGTCGTGAGATGATTTATTATAACGTTATTATTACGTGGGATGTTCGATTATGGATGCCTAGAAATAATGTAAGGGACAATTTTTCGAAATAAGAAGGAAATTGCATTAATCCATTTATTCACAAAGTTTTTATTCAAAACCTTCGAACAATTGTCTCTTATAAGAATAATATAAAGATAAAAAAAAGAAATAATAATAAAAGAAAATAATAGAAGAATAATATAAAGATATATAAAAAAAAAAGAATAATAGAAGAATAGAAAGAGATAATAGAATAATAATATAAAGATAATAAAAAAGAAAAATAATAGAATAATAGGAAATGAATAATAGGAATGCAAATAAAATAAGGATTGCAAAAAAAAAATACAATATATAGAAATGCAATGTCAAAATAGTTGAAATAATAAGATTCTTTTATAAATGCATTAATGCATTTATTTGATAAATACAAATGCACTTTTTCTTAAAATTTTCTTAAAATTTTCTCAAAATCTTTATAATTGAACTAACTTAATTTCTTTTACATATCCTTTGTAAGTGCAAATGTGCTGATAAATGCAATAAATGCAAATTTTTTTAAAAGTATATATTTCTTTTTATAATTTCTTATTTCTATTAATTCGATTAATTCTTATATAGTTTTTTTATATATTATTTTGTATTTAGTATTATTTGAAAATCATTATATTTTTCACAACTTTATTCGTGTGCTTAGAAGATTTGATATTTTGATATTTTCGTCGATTTTGAATCATTATAATTAAAAAATAAAATCGAAAATGCATTTTATAATTTTATTTTTCATTTTTTTATTTGTAAAATCATTGTAGAAATTTCTTTTTTTAAATTTTTATCTACTAAATTGAACACTCTGTATAGCAATAAATGCAACGTTAGTATAATTCTCTGGTGAACGAACTTAATGGACCATTTGGAAATGTGTTCATTAACCGTGACCAACTATTTTAAAATATTTTAACGAAGTCATTTCTATCAAGAACACGTGAACTATTTTCAATTTATATTTTAATCCATTTTATGTGCTTTAATTCTCGTACAAATTTCTGTTTCTCTTCAAGAAAATCTATCATATAGTGTGTATATAGCGTATTGCATTATCAATATACTGCAAAAATATAAAGAAAATTGATTCGAGAAATATTTAAACTAGTTTACAATTTAAATAAATAAATATCTTAATCAAATACATATACTACCTATATATCAAATAATTTCTATTGTTTTTATTTTTAATATTTTTTTCATATAAATAAAAATCGATGCGTTATTTACAATGTCTTGTTTTTCTATACAATATGTAAATTAATATCTGTGAGTTTATTATTGCTTATAACGAATTCACTGTACATTTACATAGATATAAAATCAATCAATCGTACCAACCTATAAATCGCAATCTACATAGAAATTGCTTTTGCTATTTTTATAGTCACTAACCATTTGATCCTTAACGCTTATTTTAATATATATTTACATTATTATATTTCTCTTGCTATTTAATTCAAAAATAGTGTCGTTAATCGTAATTATTTATTAGAAATTATTAATTTTTTTTTTGTTTTTCTTTACCATTTATTGGTAAAGAAAATTTGCAGTCTATATAAATATTACGATAAAACGAAATCGCGATGAGATTCAATGAGATAACAATTCAAAAATATTAAAAAATTCGAAATAAAGATAGAATTATCTAGAAAGCGATTAATTTTTAAAAAATTTTTCTTATTATAGAATTATAAATTATTTGAATATCATGAAATGGAATTACAACTCAAAAAGTGATAAGAAAATATGGTTTATTAATTCGAAATAGTGAATAAATATAAATTAAAGAAATTAATTTCTATTTTCCTTATTATGGAAATTTATTTAAATAATTATTATATATTACAAAATATTGCACTTCAAAAGAGGTTAGAAAACTGTATTAGACATTATTAAAGAATGTTGAAACACATATATCACGAATAGGGATTCTGATTTTCCACGAGAGGACAGAAGTGCCATAAAGAAGTGGTTTAAAGGATATCGTATAAAGTGTTGCGATCAGTTACCCATAAAAAAGACCCTCGAAAGTGAGATTTCACTCTACCAAGTCCCACGTGAAACGGTCGAAACCTAACTCGTATATTTTCCTCTGATATTGAAACTCGATTGGATATACTTATCATACGACAATAATGTGGATTATTTAATCGATTTTCCATCCAAGAAATAATTCGAAGCTATTGTAGTATATATCTTAATTCTTAAGATTTATTCAGATTTTGTTAGTCAATTTTATATTTATATTAGCAATTTTATAATAATAATAATCATAATGATATCAAAAGAAATAGTGCAATAGTTGTAATTATAAAAGCACAATAACAAAACCAACAATATATGGCAGAATAGAAAAATAATAGCATATAATAACATATCAATTCAAAATGATTTTTATATATTTATATTTTTATAGTAATTGCAGTAAATAGATTATGACTACTAAATTCAAAATTAAATTTGTATGATAAAGTTATATAATATATAGGATATCATATTTATATCAGTTGGTGATATATATAAAAATACATCAAAAAAAAAAAAAATGTTTAAGGATTTGTTTTCAAATTAAATTATAAATAAAACTGATAAATTGACAATTGAAACCATCGATAAAAAATTATTTTTCATATAAAAATAATTAAAAAATATAGAATAAAATTTTATCTTATCGAAAAATCATATAAACAATTAATGAATTTTTCAAATTCGATTTTCTCGAAAAATAATTTTTAAATGAAAAAATTTATCTTATCTTTTTACATAATCAATTAATAATTCATTCAATATTTATTCGTATTTATTAATTTTATTTATACAAAAATTCTCAAATTAGGTAAAGTCTGAAATGAAAAAAATTTTATTCTCTTTTTTTTGACAACTAAAATTAGCAATTATATGACATTATTGTGTAATTATACGACACTATACATATAATAATATGTCCTAAATATGACAATCCATCGTGATTTGATAAAATCTAATGAATCTTTTCAATTAATTTTTTTTCTCTTTAGAAAATTAATTTTTCTTTTGATAATCAATACGATATTTATAATCTTTATAATGTTAAATTACAACAGTAAGAAATAATTCCATCCATCATTCCAAGAATTGCATCCTTCCCCACGCGAAATAAAAATCGACGATAATAGAGAAACTCTCTATCGGCAAAAATGCTTCATAAAATTGGGAACATTTACATGCGAATAAGCTGAAAACAGTGTCCGCAATTAAGCAACTCGATACTAGCGACGCGCATCGACTAAATTTGAAAACGAGTGGATGCCCGTTTACGAGCGAATAATCCATGATCCATCGTAAAAGAAAAAGTGGGCGATCGCGTACACAACAAGCCGTAAAATTCGAATTCGAATGCCATTTTTTGTCCTTCTACCAACGAACGAACTGGACCGATAAATTATTTAAAATATAAAGATATGAAGATCGTATCAAGACGAGTCGGCGAATAATATAATTAATATAAAGATTTAAAAAAAATTGATCGTAACAGATGAATCTTGAAATATATATTATCGTTCAAAAGTTGGAAGCAATTATATTTTGGAATAAAGAATATTTAATATATGAATAATTGTGAATGTTTCGACATTGATAATTATTTTATGAATTATTTGAAATTATCTAAAATTTGTTTAAAAGTAATAAAAGATAAAAATAGTTAGGTTTTATAATGAATTAAAGAAAGATTTGATTTCGAATTATTGAAAATTATTGAATTATTGGTTTGATTTATTCATTATCTTTGTTTTGTTGCATCACTGCCATATTCTGTTCTCGCTTCGCTTCATTTAATGCGAACTTAAATTGTTTATAACTTGATAAAATCTTAACTTTTGTGTTTATTTTGATTTTTAAAAAATCAAATCCTTCAACGATCCTTCAAAAATGCATTAAGAATATAGTGACATCTTGTATAATAAAATAAAGTAAAATATAATAAAAATAGATAAATATTCAAGAAAAAAGCTTTGAAAGTAAGATAATCATTCTGAACAAATTTTTTCTATACATATAATAGATTTCTTTTAAAGTTTAAAAATATACAATTTGCGTTTAATAGATCTGTTTACGTTCTTTATACTAGAAATGAATATCTTATAAAACACAATGGACAGAGCTAAAAATGTGAAATTATTAAATGGTTTATAAATTATGCAAAAAATGTTTTTTTGAATGCACAAATCTCATTTGCAAACTCATAGGTTAATCTTGTTAATAAATCTCTAACAGAAAAATTAAAACACTTATTTATAATAGGCTTGAATTAGGTTAAATTAGGTTAGATTAGATTTTCTTTTCGTGAACATTTGCTGTAAAATATATAGTGATAATAATATAGTAAAATTTTAATAAAATATTCTTGACACATTAATCGATCCAACACTGATTTAATTTTACATTTATTTCATCTTTTAACGAAGTATCTCATTAAAAAACGAGAGTTCATTTTCTTGTTATTCGTACAAAGAACAAACAAATTTATCATATTCTCTTTTATCTACGATCTTTCATGTCTTCTTCCTTTGTTTTTTCATCTAGGTTTCGAAATTTTCCTTTATTTTTTTCTCTTTAAACGACAAATGCACACATTCAATTCAGCACGATAACATGAAATACATCGTGGAACGATAATATCGATAGAATACGAACGATTTAACCTCCATTCCTTCCCATCTCTCTCCTTCTATCTCTCTCGTTTCGAAAGAGAGGTAAGAAACGTTTCCGATATAAGTGCACGTACGTTTGTGAATCGTTTGATGGCTCTTACAGGCAATCGTCGTCAAATGGAAAAATAGTCTTTTTTTACACGATGTAAAATGTCATAGGCAACGTTCACATGCGTATTCGACCGTAAAAATCCATATTGCAAATATGGAATCCTGAAAAT